TCGAAATTTGCCATTTTCCATCCGCTGAACGGTTGGTGTCATGCGTGCAGGACACCCGCAATAGTTGCATTTTCTATTGCGATGTCCCTTGGAGCGCGACGCTTGCGAAACACCGTGTGTACAGCGGAGGACCTTGTGACTCCAATTAAACGTGAAGGGATTTGGTCCCGATGATTGCTGCATATGAAAGGGGGTTTCGTTAATAACTTAAATTTCTCATCAAACAGAGGTCATCACACATACCTGTTGTACTGATTTCGTGTCTCCGAGCTTCGTACTAGAAACTTGGGGTGGTGCTTCTGCTCGTATATTTTCAAGTGTGCGTTGAACTTGCTCCAACTCTTGATAATCGCTGGGGTAAAGGGCGGAACGGGGTTGATAATTTCTTCGCGCTCCTCGTTGACCTCCCGCAACTCGTCAAGGTGCTTGCTTGATCGCTTCCGCGGTATGTACTGCTTGTTCCGCTTGGATAAACGTGGGGCCGAATCAGCGTCGACAGACTCGTCAAGCTGCAGCTCCGCCTTCCGCTTTTTCGCGAAAGATTGGGCTTCATCCCCAGCAGAAAGCTTGCATTTGGCCAGAGCGGTATCTATCGATTCCAAAGTGAATGTCAATATTAATGATAGCGCAACCTTTTTGCTTAAAGCAACTTTAACGAGAATGCCTGGTGTTTTCTTGCGTGCTGTGGCTTTCTTTCTCAGCTCGGGGCTCTGTTTGCGTGTCCTGCGTTCTAAACAAATTAAAAAAATACACAATACATTATCAGTTCAACTCAATAAGTATCAACAATAATCCAAACGAGTCTTACCCGCTTCTGCTTCGTCTTCTGTGCTGGATTCTCCGTCGTCGTCTGCCTCCTGTTCATCGTCACTCGCCTCCTCTTCATCGTCGTCACCCTCCTCTTCATCGCTATCGCTCTCCTCATCATCATCGACCTCTTCTTCGTCTTCCTCCTCTTGGTAGCAATCCTCCGTCTCTTCGTCGCAGTTGTCTTCCTCATCCTCCTCATCCAGAACAAAGTCTTCGTCTTCGTCGTCGTCTTTTTCAATCCCGAGAGCGGCGTACATATAGTTTAGCTCCTCGTTTACGTTCCGCAGCTTTCGGTCTAAACAATACATACCGACATAATTCAAACAAAATGTGAGGCACGTAGATACTTTCGTTGCCACCAACATGGAGCATACTGATTACCGTTTATAATGGCTCCCCCCGCAGGAGCCATCGGTCCCCCCTCGCCGTTTGGTGCTTGACTGATTCGCGAGAGGTGCGTGCCCCACGTGGCCTCCGTTCAGCAGCGCGATTCTTAAAATGAGCGGCTGTGAGGTGGCGCACTTAATGGCATCGTACCTAATCAGAAGCGCACTTTAGCGTGGTTTGCGTACCTAAGGGCTTAATGGTAATTTAGACATTTAAATTACGCTCGTAATTTTTGAAATCCCTAAAAGCAACCATACATGTCTCACAATGGCTAAAAGCAACCATACTTATGGTTGCTCTAACCACTCCCAGATTTACGATAAATCGAGGTGCATAAATGGGTGGAGGCCTAGAATTACGCTTTTAGTGTAATTCTAGGCCTCCACCCATTTAGCGCCACAATTGCACTTTTGAAAGTGCAATTGTGGCTGTGCAGCTGCAATTCTGTCGGTTTTTATCCACAAGCACCTACACACACGGCAATTATGCATAAGAGGGTGGATGTGCTGGGGATCATGGACGATGGTGTACTGGGCCAATGCATGGCTGCTGACAGGCCCTCCCAAGCCGATATATATATGAGGAGATGGATTTATGCATAATTTTAGCAGGTCGTGCATCTTCTTTCACACATATTTAGGAGCAGGCTTTGCCATATTTAGCGTCTAAAATGGTCGGCAAAATAGCTGCAAAGCACAATACTTGAAGTATAATAATAATAATAATAATAATAATAATAATTTAATAGGCTCACTCTTTCGCTGCACGTGTTGAAACTAATTGCGTGATCACGGCAGAGCTATCTACTGAATAATTACGTATCATTCGAAGAGTTTCCAATATAATAGGCTGTTTACGGTCAATTTTTATTGGTATCGATATATGGACAGTGATTCCTAATAATATGTGGTGATAATAAATCCCCTCATAATAATGTATTTGGAATCAGGTAGCTCCATATAGCGGAAATGCCCGAGTACTGTCCGGTATTCTATTTATTAGAAGCGGGCCAAATTTGTGCAATTACGAAAGCGGTCTTTTATTTGGGTAGTGTCACTTCCTCAGACAAAACGATGACACCTACCAATGAGAGCATCGGGTCTATTTCTCGAGCAAAATGATAACTTCGTACAGAGTATCATCGATTGTCCGCTTACGTGAGCGGTTGTCGAATACCGTACCTCCCCCTACTCTTTTCATCCATTAGCGGTAGAATGTTGGACCATCTCAATGCCTACAGGTCTTGTAATCGGTTAGGGCTTCTAATTTTGGACCGCTTTCAAAAATGACCAGAGGGCTTTTATTCGGGACAGGTGCTGTATTCGGGAATATCCGTTAATATGGAGCTTTACACTAATTTCGTGGAGCCGTACTAGACAGCATGGATTTCTTAAATCAGTTAGCTGCCACTAATCGACTACAGAGTATTATACCTCCGCTAAGTTGAAGCTTGTCATATTGGTTCTTTTCTTTAATAAAACCAAGGTTGAGGTGCATTGTGTTACTGACGTCTTGCAACAGTGGCGTATTTTTCAAATATTTAGAGAAATCTATGAGCATGTTCATATTTATAGCTTAAATTCCTTGGCCTTGGACTACAATGCACTTTTAAAAAATAGCTATTTCGCACCTTGAGTTGTCCCATAAGCCGTCTCGTAGCCATCCCGTAAGCCGTGTACCCCACGATTGCAAAATACATTCGATGCGTTACATGGGCTACCAGGGAGTAGGTGAATGAAGTGTAAAGTGTGTACAAGCGTTTTTGATTATCAGATTTTTGCATGGATATGGTCGATGACTTGGTTTGATATTCTATCTCCGTCCCACCGAGTAACAGAAAGTAGGCATACGAAAGCCCCCTCCCCCCCCCCCCTCCCTCCCCTTATTTGCCTTCGCAGATTGAGGTGAATGCATCAGCGTTGTGCCTGCGAAACACATGACTACTGTAGTATCTGCAACTGGATTGAGGACAAAGGTTGTTGTTTTGTTCGAGCAGACAGCGCGAAGTGGAGGTTCCATTTCTAAGCAATGTAAATATTATTTTTTAAAGATGTAGAAATTCAATTTTCATATTTGACTTTCTTAGAGACTAAAAATTGGTAATTGATTACCACTGTCAATGTCTAAATATTAGAAATATTGATTTCGTCGGACTTTAAAAAGTCCGACGAAATTAATATGTTTTTTTAAAATAGAAGTAAAAAAGTTCATAATAAAATTTTATTATGAACTTTTAGATTCGTCTTTTTTTACTTTTAATATAATATAAAATGAATTTCTATCGTTTAGAAACAGTCACAGGATTTCGTTTGGGCAGCCGGGCTTAGGTCGAATTCATACATGTACACTTACACGAGCACTGCACTCCACCTTGTTCGTGCCTAAGATTCACAGCCTGCAATGCGTGTATTGTAGCAATACGGGGCAGTGAAGTCAAGCCACGCATTCGCCGAAATGATCCAGTCAGTCCATACATACATGTACTTACCCGCTCAACTTGCGTCGCATTTGCCGCGGATTTGTGCGGATGCTGACCGCACCCCAACTTCAATTCCCATCGTACTACACACACGCGCCAAAGCTGACGGCGGCCGCCACGTACCCACACCACGGGCCCATAAGCATGGCCGCCATGAAGCGCTGACGCTGTTGAAGCGACCGGGTCACCACCGTGTGCACTGGCCAAGCTGAATTCATTTTCAAATCAACCTCCGAGGGCTCAAGTCGATCACTTCCCCGCTGCACTTCATCGATCAAGCACCATGGCTGCCACCAACCTCATCATGTCCGGCGACTGCGGCGGCACCAACACGCGTCTGTCGCTATGGAACATCCCCAAGGAGGCCAAGCACGTCAAGGGCGACATCGCTCCCGGTGACATGGTCTTCTCCAAGAAGTACCTGAACGAGGAGTACGCGAGCTTTGCCGAGGTGTGCCACCTCTTCCTGAACGAGGCCAAGCTCGTGAACCAGATCCCGGAGGCCTGCGTTCTTGCCTGTGCTGGTCCCATTCTCAAGAACACGGTGGACTTCACCAACGTCGAGTTCGGCTGGAGGATCGACGGCCCGGGTCTGGAGAAGGAGCTGGGCATCAAGAAGGTCAAGCTCATTAACGACTTCGCCGCTATGGGCTACGGCCTGCTCACCCTCCGCCCGCACGAGTACATTGTGCTCAACGACGCCCCCAAGGACGAGACCGCCCCCATGGCCACCATCGGCGCTGGCACCGGTCTGGGTGAGTGCTTCCTGACCCCCGGCAACGACGGCCAGTATTCGTGCTTTGCCTGTGAGGGTGGCCACACCGACTTTGCCCCCGCCGACGAGATCGAGATTGAGCTGTACAACGACATCAAGGCCAAGCTTGGCTGCAGCAAGCGTTTCTCGGTTGAGCGCATCATTTCGGGCCCCGGCCTGGCCACCATCTACGAGTTCCTGGCCAAGAAGTTCCCCGAGAAAGTGGACCCCAAGGTGCACGAGGAGTTCCTCAAGGCCAACACGCAGCAGGGCAAGGTGATCGGCGAGAACGCCAAGACGAACGAGCTGTGCAACCAGACGCTGGAGATCTTCGTGGGCGCGTACGGCCGCGAGGCTGGCAACGCGATGCTGAAGTACCTGCCACGCGGTGGTTTCTACATCACGGGCGGCCTGGCGCCGAAGAACCTGGACTACTTCACGAAGAAGGACATTTTCCTGAACTCGATGTTCGACAAGGGCCGTGTGAGTCCAGCCATCCGCGCTTGCCCCGTGTACCTCGTCCTGAACGAGGACTTGGGCGAGCGTGGTGCCCACTACTACGCCTACCAGTTGCTGCAGGAGGCGTAAGCCTTGTATGAATGCTTCGGTCTTCTGGCCGAGCTAGGGCAATGCGAATAGCGGCCCGAATGTGTTTGATAATGAACCTCTTTCGTTGCGTCTTGTCCGCTTTGGTGTTGAATTCGAGCTGCTTGATGATGCGTGTCAGGTCTCCGCCGCGAGGTCCGCCGAGTCCATGCACCATTGTATCAAGTGCCGATTGCTGGTGCGCGGCTGGATGTGCACTCCGCGAAAGTCAAGTCAAGTCGGGAGTCAAGGTCAAGGGCAACGTGTTCCGGATCAAATCAGACTCGCTCGAGCGTCGAGGCTGCTTCGACTTGGGCTCGGCCCCAACTTGGGGCCCCCAAGCAGCCCGCGAGGCCGAGCTATGCACTAGTTGAAGTAGGCCCATACTGAGACCAAGTCTCAACGTCTGACGTCACGCAATGCGGATGCATGGCCGGGAGCGAGGCCTCTCCATCCACAGTATTACAAGCAGCAACAGCTTTCGAAAGACCATGGCCCATGTCCAAGACCTGTGGCTTGCAAGTGCTCCTTAGACTTCTACTCGGCAGCTCCAGTATTGGAGACTCCAATTTGGAGTCTCGCCCCGAAAGAGCTCTGGGAAGCCACTCTGCTTGGTCGCATGGCCACGCGCTTGCGCTCCGCACCATTCGGTGCGATGGTGAAAGTTCAGCCGACGGAGCAGAGACCTTGCAACGGCCCAACAACTTCAAGGCCACAGCCGGGCGACGCTGCCTTGCCACGTCGGCAAAGATCCTCTGTCCTGCTCGGCCCGCGAACGCTTTGGCCATTCCGGAATCTTCCGTCTCCAGGACAAGCACCTCCGCCCCCTCCTTCTACCATGGCGTACGTGGCCTCCCCCTTGCAACCACCGACCCCTCGTCGTTGCCCACGTCGAGATGGACGCGACCGAGCTTTTTCGTCCGAGTAACCATGGCTGGAAGTCTCACAATCACCTGTTATGTATTGCAGTGACTACAACCTCATCATCTCGGGCGACTGCGGCGGCACCAACACGCGTCTGTCGCTGTGGAAGATCCCGGCCGGCGCCACCCAGCTCAAGGGCAACATCGCCCCTGGCGACGCCCTCTTCGCCAAGAAGTACCTGAACGAGGAGCACGCGAGCTTCAACGAGGTGTGCCACCTCTTCATGAACGAGGCCAAGCTCACGGACCACGTGCCCGAGGCCTGCGTGCTAGCCTGCGCCGGCCCCATCATGAACAACACCGTTGACTTCACCAACGTCGAGTTCGGCTGGAAGATCGACGGCGCCAGCCTCGAGAAGGAGCTGGGCATCAAGAAGGTCAAGCTCATTAACGACTTCGCCGCTATGGGCTACGGCCTGCTCACCCTCCGCCCGCACGAGTACATTGTGCTCAACGACGCCCCCAAGGACGAGACCGCCCCCATGGCCACCATCGGCGCTGGCACCGGTCTGGGTGAGTGCTTCCTGACCCCCGGCAACGACGGCCAGTATTCGTGCTTTGCCTGTGAGGGTGGCCACACCGACTTTGCCCCCGCCGACGAGATCGAGATTGAGCTGTACAACGACATCAAGGCCAAGCTTGGCTGCAGCAAGCGTTTCTCGGTTGAGCGCATCATTTCGGGCCCCGGCCTGGCCACCATCTACGAGTTCCTGGCCAAGAAGTTCCCCGAGAAAGTGGACCCCAAGGTGCACGAGGAGTTCCTCAAGGCCAACACGCAGCAGGGCAAGGTGATCGGCGAGAACGCCAAGACGAACGAGCTGTGCAACCAGACGCTGGAGATCTTCGTGGGCGCGTACGGCCGCGAGGCTGGCAACGCGATGCTGAAGTACCTGCCGCGCGGTGGTTTCTACATCACGGGCGGCCTGGCGCCGAAGAACCTGGACTACTTCACGAAGAAGGACATTTTCCTGAACTCGATGTTCGACAAGGGCCGTGTGAGTCCCGCCATCCGTGCTTGCCCCGTGTACCTCGTCCTCACGGAGGAGCTCGGCGAGCGTGGTGCCCACTACTACGCCTACCAGCTGCTGCACACGGGTGCTTAAGCTCTTGTCGCATCGCGAGCAAGTGCTGCTGAGGTGTAGACGTGGCTGAGGTCGTGGACAGGAAGAGAACTCTTCCTGCTTCCACGTGTGGTAGCGAGTAGCGTTCAGTTGTGCCATCGAGCAACTTCATTTGTAAGAAACCATTCTTTCGTATTATCCCGCTGTGTCGCTTGCATTTATTTGCTGGGGGATGAAGGTATTGGTGGTGACTCGAAGGTTTGCTGTCGTTCGATCCACGACGACGATCAGCGCGGTGGCGACGAGCGAAGAGATGATTGCTGGCGAGTGCTTGGAGATACAGAACAGTACACAAGCGATGGTCGAGCTTCAGCCTCCAAGATCGCTCACATGCTTATGCACGGAGTGGCGATCCACAGCGTTGGGCGATCGCCCCTGTTTGATACATACTGTCTCCGCCATGGATATCACTACAGTGCACACACTTCATGAACCAGAAGTCCTAATGCAACAACTGCGAACTGGTTTCCCAAATCAAGTTGTCAAGCAGCCAAAGCAGCCCAAAGTGGTGTCTGATAATGGAAGCCATTCCTGCGACGTGTACCAGCACCGTAACACTGTTATGTTGCGCGACAGTTGCTGCAAGCGCGACTTGGCATCCATCACTTCAAGACGCGCCTTTCATTCCCGAATCTCCCCTCTCGGTCCCAAGTATCTAAACGCTCAACACTCCAAGCAACTCCATCATGTCGTACGTGGCCACCCCTCTCTAACCCTCTCTAACCGTCTCTAACCGGCAAATTCTTTCACTTAACCTAGAGGCGACCTCATCATCTCCGGAGACTGCGGCGGCACCAACACGCGCTTGTCGCTGTGGCTCATCCCCAAGGGCTCCGTGGCCTTCAAAGGCTCCGTGGCCCCCGGTGAGATCACGTTCGCGAAGAAGTACCACAACGAGAAGTACGGTAGCTTCTCGGAGGTCTGCCACCTCTTCATGAAGGAGGCCAAGCTCGTGGACAGACTGCCCGTGGCCTGCGTGCTGGCGTGCGCCGGGCCCATCCTGAACAACACAGTCGAGTACGGCCCGGTTAACACTAGCCTAAACTTTAGCACTAGCCTAACCTTTGTGTCTCTCTAACTGTTTCTAAATTAGGTTCACCAATATCAAGCAAGGCTGGAAGATCGACGGCCCGGGACTGGAGAAGGAGTTGGGCATCACCACTGTGAAGCTCATCAATGACTTTGCCGCCATGGGCTATGGCCTCCTCACTCTGAAGCCCCATGAGTACATTGTACTCAATGAGGCGGAAAAGGAGGAAGGCGCCCCCATCGCCACTATCGGCGCTGGAACGGGCCTGGGCGAGTGCTACCTCACGGCCGACAAGGACGGCCAGTATTCGTGCTTCGCCTGTGAAGGTGGCCACACGGACTTCGCTCCGGCCGACGAGATCGAGATCGAGCTGTACAACTCCATCAAGGAGGAGCTGGGCTGCCACCGCCGCTTCTCGGTGGAACGTATTGTGAGCGGGCCGGGGCTGGCCACGATCTACCGGTTCCTGGCCAAGAAGTTCCCCGACAAAGTGAACAAGAAGGTGCACGACGCCTTCCTGGGCGCCAAGTCCTTGCAGGGAAAGATCGTCGGCGATAATGCCAAGACGGACGAGCTTTGCAACCAGGCCATGGAGATCTTCATCGAGTACGTCATGGCCCAACTGGCCAGCGCGTTTTTAGTGCATTGTACTAACTTTTTGTTTTACTATCTTTCTTTTTGTTGATAGTGCTTACGGACGTGAGGCTGGATGTGCCATGCTGAAGTATCTACCTCGTGGTGGCTTCTACGTCACTGGCGGACTCGCGCCGAAGAACCTGGACTACTTCACCCAGAAGGATATTTTCCTCAAGGCGTGCTTCAACAAGGGCCGCGTGAGTCCGGCGCTCAAGGCCATCCCCATCTACCTGGTGCTGACGGAGGATTTGGGCGAACGCGGCGCGCACTACTACGCGTACCAGCTTCTGGAGTCGTACAACCACAGCTTGCTGGGCGACACCATCGCGCGCGAACGCGTGCAGGAGAAATTCGCCACGAGCGACCACTTGGTGCTCTACTCGACCATTGCTGCTGCGGGCGTGGCTGCTGGTATCGTCCTGGGAAACTTGCTGCGAAAGTAAAAGCGCACGTGTCAGCAAAGCGACCGGTTGATCGATGGTTATCATCATCCTCGTGTTTGAGCAAGGTCACACAACTGGTACCTGAACCGACCGATCGCTGTGTACAAGCTGCAGAAAATGAAAAATTACGCGACTAATTCAGTTCTGAAGTTGAAATGTTCGCGTGTTGCAGACTTTTTGTCTAGTTGTCGCGCTGGTTGTTTGGAGGTTCTGGCTCAAGAAAGAGTCCGTGCTCCTTTAGGAGATCGAAGACCTCAGGTCCTTCCAGCATTCGTCGGTTCTCGACAGCCTCCCTCATCGCTCGCTTGAACGCCCGTACCTGGCTTTTGAGCCCAGCCAGCTCTTCATCCAGCGAGGCGTGGAGCTTCTTGCGCTGTTCGAGCTCCCGATGCGTCGCGTAAACGTTTTCCGTCACGCCGTACAGCTTGCGCCGAACTGCGTACTGGTTGCCAATGATCTCGTCGGCGTTGGCCCAAACTGCGGTGCACTCACGCTTCAACTTGCGCACAGCCCGTTCTTCCATTGTCCTGTGGGATTCCCAGTTGTCCTTCAATTTGGTGAGGATCTCCTTCTCTCGCGGTAGTTTCGCTCTACGGTAGAGCTCGTCCATGGGGTTCCGTCGGGCCTCCAGCCTCCCCAGCAGCGATTTATCGTACTGCTCTTTGGCTTTCAGCGCTGCAACAGCTCTGCTGATCTCGTAGATTTTCCGAGCTTGGCGTGTCCGATAAATCCGCTGCAGCACGGAAGCAGCACTCGATTTGGCCTGGAAAATCTGGGAGAATCGCTTTCGGCCAAGACGGCCACGATAAATCCGCTGGATAATCTGGGCGGATTGAAGACAGCGCTGCCGATGCCGCTCAGCCTTGAAGTACACTCGGCCACGATGACCTCGAAAGACTCGCTGGATATCCACAGCGGCGTGGGTCTTGGCTTCTCGCTTGCGACTCAGTCGCAGCTTGTTGATCCACTGCTTCATGTACTGTTGAATCCGTTGTGCAGCGAGAAATCTCCGCCATCGGCGGATTTTCAGCGCCTTCCGACGCGCAAACACGGCTCGAATCCATTGCTGGATGCAGAGCACAGCGCCTTTGTGGATAAACTGCTGTCGAAGCAGAGCTTGCGTCGCGTTCTGGCCTTTGCGAGCGTATTTGGCACTGCGGATTTTCCGGAAGAGCAGAGCTCGCTTTCGACCCAACATACCACGATAGCACCTCTGGATATCTCGTGCAGCTTCGTTATGGTGCTTGGACACAGCTTGGCGAACGATTACACGCATTTGCGTCACTATCCGAGCGTATCGGACCATCCTCTGCATTTGAATTATTAATCCACGCTGATACAGATAGATTTTTCGTGCACAATAGCGTCGCCACTGCGACTGGATCACGATAGCAGTATTGGTGGCTAGCGTGCGGTAGAATGCAACGCGTTTGCGGGCCATGTGACCTCGATACACGCTCTGGAATGTGAGCGCCGCCGCGTTCATCTCAATCCGCATAGCAGACACGTGAAGTATCGCCAACTTCCGACGCCACACGCTTTGGATTTTTATGGCTGCATCGCGATAGTAGGCCATGTACTTGGTGAAGTTCTGTCGGCGCTTGTACTTCCGCCACTGGCCCTGGATGCTGCGGATTTTCTCCACCAGCCACTTTGAGCGCGCTTGAAACTCGCGATAGTTGAGGCATCGGCGATACCAGCGCCAGATTTTACCAGCGCACTCCAGCTTCCGTTCGTAGATGAGTCGTTGATATCGTTGCCGGCCACGGTAACCGCGATACACGCGCTGAATCTCGCGAGCGTAGTAGTTGCGGATTTTCATCCGGATTATGTGGTGTGGATGGTAGCAGCGTTGAATCCGTCGGGCAGCTAGATTCGCAGTAAAGCGCCAAGTGCGGACTTCTCGACGAGCTCTATTACCTCGAGCATGAGCTTGAACGTACACGATCTTGTCCATACTCTCCTTGAGCGACAACAAGTGCAAGAAGCGACGCCAGGCCAGAAAATCCCTCACACACTTTTGGATTTTCCTCGCCGCTCGAGTTTCACGTAAAAGTCGGCGGTTTGCCAGAAACGCTATCGTGAATTTCTTGTTTTTCCACTTGCGGAACTTGGTCTGCAACATCACAGCAGCTCTGTATCGCTCCTGCATAACGCGGAGCAGCTCAATGTGAACCTTTGGCAGAGGCTCCAGCACCATGGTCGAGTTGGCCCCACCGGTTGCGATCGTCTTGATCAACGACGCAGTCGTGAATGGTTTGGTGAAAGGCAAGAGAGTGTCGTTGCAGCGCTTCACTACCTTCTGGGACAGTCGGTCGCAGCCTTTGAGCCGCAGCTCCTGGATCTGTTGGCAATTTGCGCACAGTGCGAGCAGACCTTCGTCCGTCACGCGCGTATTTCCACTTAAGTCGAGAATTTCCAACGGGATCTTGGTGAACGCGAGTGCAGTTAGCGATCGATCCGTAATTCCGCGCGTGTTGGCCAGTAAAAGGACTTTTAACTGGAAACTACGTGAAGCAAGCGCTTCCGTCGCAAAATCCGTAATTTGCGCACACTACACACAATAAGTTAGTATGAATGAACACAAAAGGTTTTAGTTTGGCTACTTGAAGCCCACCTTGGATAAGTTAATCCACTCCAGTTGGCGGCACGCGGCTGCCAGCACGCTCACGCCGATATCACAGACGTTCGTTCCGCTTAAATCGATTCGTCTCAACGGATGTGGCGGGTGAATACCACTTGCTGTAGTCGACACCAAGTTCATGAAGCATCCTGGAGTTTCCAGGTCATGCCGCTCCGATACATCAAGGACTCGCAGTTTCCGGCACATTTTGCCTAGTAACTTGAACGTTTGCGCTGTGATGTTCCGACCCGAAAGTGATATACTCGTAAGCACCGCGCAGCCCTTGGCGATCTCCATCACGCCGCTATCAGACGCTTTACGCAACCCTTTCAGGTTGAGTTTCGAGATATTCCCACCGTGCTTTCCTATTAGCACCAAGGAATCGTCCCCAATATTCGGGCAGTTCTTCAGATTGAGGGACAGCAACTGGGTACGCGGACTATCGTCGTCATTTTCATCCAGATTAGAGATCTGATACTTCTCTTCTTGGAGCGAAAAGAGGTTTTTGATGCCACTATCCGTGATAAGGGGGCAGTCTTGCATGTTGAGCTTGACGAATACAGGCGACGAGATCAGCGGCGCCATCAGCAACAAGGCAAAGTCCGACAGCGCCTTGCACCGCGCGACGTTGAGCCGCTGCAAGGTGGATCCGCAGCCTTTGACGATCCAGCTGACCGCCGTCTCGTCGATTCCCAGCCCGCTAAGACTCAACAACGTCAGAGAGCGAAGCCCTGGACTCGTTTCAAAGGCGAAGAAGGCCATGTTGTCCACACTGAGGCAATCGTCCACTGCTAGATGTTGCATCGCCATGCCCTTAACGGACGAACTGGCCAGGTACGAGATTCCAGACGACGTGAGGTTCTTGCACTGACGCACGTCCAGCCACCGAAGCGTGCAGGCTGCAGATGATCGCTGAGTATTGGCAATGCATTGCAAGAACGCGTCCGTGACACCCGGGCACCCTCGAACTGAGAGCGTATGCAAGCGCTTGCAGTCTTTCCAGACTTTACTAAGCACGGCGCTGGAAAAGTGGTGGCATTCGTCGAGGCGGAACTCCTGCAATAAGCTCAAGTGGCGGCGGATGGTATTCAGCCCTTCGTCCGTGATAGCGTGGCATCTCGAGATGTCCAAACTCGTGAGGTATTTGAGTTTGTGCAGGTGGGCAATGCCGTGGTCAGTGATGGAAGTTCCTTCGAGCACAAGTGTGCGAGAACCTGCAATAAAGCAGCCGCCAAGTTAGTGGACATTTTCTAGTTGTGACTCAACTTCGAAGAGAGAGGCTTACCGCTTGCGGCAGGATGTGACGCGATGGCAATCAACCAGTTGTTGGATACGCCCAAGAAGTTGCGCAAGTCGATCTCTCTTTTCAGCACCTTGCCTCGGACATCCTGTCAGTATATGTAAACAGCGTGGGTCTGTGTTTGTCTCTCTTTCGATGAAAGTACACTTTTGCCAAAACACACATTGTTTGTTTTACTCACCTGGCAAAACAGCTCCGTTGGAGGCGCGGCCAAGCTCTTCATGTCGCCTTGACAGTGACGCGTAGCCCCCTTCATCTATCGTCGAACCACGCAGCACCATGAGAGTCTAGACCAGCCATCAGACTACTAAAGATCGTGCCGTCTCTTCACGGCCAGCGCTGACCAAGGCAGCGACGAGCTCGACGTACGTGCTCCATGACGTTCTCAGGCAGGTTAGCAGCTACTCGACGCTCGCGTTGATGCTGCAGAAGCTTCACCCTCGCCTGCAAGACCCCATCCTCGTACTCGCCGGCATACATCGAGGATGGATGGCTTAGGGACCCCCCCTTCTGGTATAATAAATGCAACTTCAACTTGTGTCCCTTCGTGCGCAATCCTGTTGAAGTGGCCCACCTCAACGTGCTGACGTGTGTTTGTTCGTTTGATTCAGTTCATCGAGGCCATGTCGGTGGGCGCCAACTTCGCCAAGGCCAAGAGCAGCATCGCCCACCAGCGGTCCATCGCCGTGCTGACGCTCTACAGCTGCATGACGCCGCTCGGCATCTTCCTGGGCATGGTGCTGTCCGATTCCTTGCGCGGCAGCAGCGCGCTGGCCATGGAGGCCGTGGCGCTGAGCATCGCGTCGGGCAGCTTCATCTACCTGGCGTTCCACGAGCTGTCGGAGGAGAACGCGAGCCAGGAGAGCCACACCATCGAGAAGCTCGCGCTCTTCTCCGCGGGCATGGCCAGCATGGCCGTGCTGGCCGCGTGGGCATAGGTAATAATGTGCCGTAACAGCAGGACGCCTGGGGCAAGCTGAGCAAGAGAAAACAGGACATTCGGACGATCGCATTGCCACTTGCTATGGAGAGACCATCACGACTCGCGGCCTTGGGCTTGCCATTAGTAACGACGCGGCCGCCATAACTACATGTACACAGCGCTTTGCCATAAATACGAACAAGTCGAGGTGTCGTCCCGAGAGTTTGGACAGGCAAAGAATCGCCAAAAGGGAAGAAAAGCATGTACACTTCAGCGTATTTGCAAGCCAAGAACGTAGGGGCTGCAACTTGCAGCCATCCATCCATGCGTTGCCCCACCATCGGAGCTGGCGGTGCCCGCTGCCCAGTGACATGACGAGCCCGCGGCGGACAGCACCAAGCGCTCGCTTCTGGCGGAAAGGAGGCGAGCAGCAGGCTGCGAATTCTCAAGTTACATTTTTACATTGGGCTCGGGTGGATTTTCACCTTTGTGAGGCGGTGGCGACAGCAGGAGCTTGGCCAGATGTGGTCTCGGTGCAGGCAGGGAAGGTGGCGTCAGTGTGTCCACCATTTGCGGGCGGCACCGGGATTCTTCATGACTCGACAAATTTGACAAATTTGACATTCGGCACCGGTGCCGCTCCGAGATTCTGGTCGAATTGTCAGCCCTCTCCGGGAAATCGAGCTGGCCTTGATCGACCGCCGCGTGGCAGGCCTCGCGCCACTGCACGCACTGCAACGGACGATCGCGAAAGGCAGCAGAGCCGTTGCCGTCTTTGAAGTTGCTCGGCGGAGGACATAGACAGCTTCGAGATGGACGCCGAGATGCCATCTCTTGTCCCCATTGCTTCAGGACGATCGACGACGACGAGCGCACGAGCCACGTCAAGTGAGCGGGCAGATAAGGGGCGGCGACCTGCACATTTCGTAGAGATCCGCTCGCCTCGCGGCCACCTCGGCACTCACTCACTCACCCACTCATCGGCAACAGCGAAACGAGTCGTTGCAGACCCTTTTCGACGCCGAGAAGGCGGGGCGAGGCTTGCATTTGGCGCAGCCTCAACCACCTCGTGGCGTTGCGGGCCGCGCCTATCGATTGGTTCGTGTAGCATTTTGACGCTGCAGTTGACGTTGAGGGGCGTGCCGCGAGCGCTGCTGCTTCGGCGGAGCTCTCTGCTAGTGGCAACAGGCGCATCAAGCTTTCAAGCTTTCGAGGGGCAGTAACTTGACTCGACCGGACTAACAGCGCATTGCCTAACATCGGTCGTGCTGGTGTCACGCTTCCTCCGAATGGCGATGATACTCTCAGTTCTTTTTCAATGGGGTATACACGTACGTTTTCTAGAGTTTATGACTATCCAAGAAATCACCACTAACCCCTTAGAAACACGCTCTTTCAACATGTCCGACTTGTACGGGGTATGTGATCGTGCAAGTCCCCAGTTCTGCCTACACGAAACATGACTTTTGCCGCTCGCGCCGCGATGATGCAGCGGCGAGTTTACCCTTTTGCCTGTCAGCGACACACGCCGTGCATAGACCGCCTGGGCCTGGCGCCAGCTTCGCGGTGCACCGTATCAGCATGGCGTGCCGGTTCCGATTTGCTTGCCAGCCCGAGCCGAGCAGCCCTGCCCGGTGCCTTCCGCTCTATGCCTGCAGCCTGCAGGTGTCGAACACCAGCCCGCCGCCGAGCTCCATGGTCCGCCTTCGTGGCAAACAGGCGAGAGAGCTCTTGCCGGAGTCGGCGCCTGTTTGAGCGGCCATGTGTCGGCGCCGTCGCAGAACCTGCTCGCTCAGCTTGGCCGAGTGGTCAAGTCCAGTGTTGAGCTTACCTTACTCGACGCTTTTGTGGAACCTCGGGGGTATCTCCTCTATCTATTCCCGACTTCCAGCATCATAATCGAGGCCGCTTTCCGCGGTCCTCGTGCGTGCGTTCTGTCCGCGGCGGTGTCGGTGGCCGTCCCCGTTACCTAGCGCCGACCCCGCCAATAGCCAAGCTGACGAGAAGATAAGCTAGGGCTCGGAGCCTGCAGCTCCCGGGCCTGCACCGCGCCGCATCGGGCCGTATGACTCGGTGCGAGGCCGCCAGCCGCTCCAGCGCACGAAAGCGAGCACGCTGCGGGGCGACGCCACGACTGCATCCGTTTCTCGCATCGTCGGCGGTGACAAGAGCCGAGCGAGCGCCGAGGCACTCACTGGCCCGAGCACCAAAACGAACGAGCGCGCAGCTCCGACGCGCGTGCTCGCCTACCCGCGGCAAAACCCTGCACTTTTCAGAGGCAACTGCGCGCCCAAAATCCCGGCAAAGGGCCGCACATTAGCCAACATTTGCGAAACGCTGCGAGCTTCCGTCATTTTCCGCTCACAAAAAGCAAGTCAAGTCGGAAACAGCCGCCGGCAAAATCCACCTTCCGCGTTTAACTGTCGAACGTGGCGAGGACCGGGCGCTTCCAGCCGGCGGAGAGACGCGCGCCCTCTTTCCTCGATCGATCGTCGGTCACGGCCCCATCAGGAGCAGCCGTCGTCTGTTGTTGCCGGCCGGCGCACGGAGTGAGCGAGGCGACTTGGCTGCCATTGCACATTTTGAGCAGCCAGCCGAAGTCACCGCAAGCAGAAGCAGCAATAGCATCACGCACAGCTAGCTAGCTAGCCGCACTGCAACTACAACACTACTACAGACGCTAGAGTCTTCCACTTCACACACACACTCCGCCGCACCATCATGCCGTACGAAAGCTTCACGCCGCAGCAGCAGGTCGAGATCACCGAGGTCGTGCAGGACCCGGCCACGGGCGCGTGGATGTACGTGCTGCACGTGCAGCGCGGCAACACGAGCACGTACTCATCGCCGCGCGGGCCCGTGGAGGAGGGCTTCAGCCACGAGTACGTCATCAGCCGGCGCTTCAGCGAGTTCAAGCAGCTCCACACGGCGCTGGTGTCCGTCATGGGCGACGAGCTCACGCCGCTGCCGGCCGACGGTCTCATCACGCTGCTGATGGCCGACAACCAGGCGCTGCTGGACGAGCGGCGCCAGGTGCTGGCGCAGATCGTCATGGACATCCTGAACCACCCCGTGGCGCGCGACCTGCCGGACGTGCTCGAGTTCCTGGGCCACGAGTCCATCAGCGCCAAGGTCATGGCGCCGCTCTCGGGCCAGTGCACGGGCTCGATCCGCAAGACGTCGAGCCCCGCGTGGACGGCGCTCAACTGCGCGTCCGTCATGTCGTCGTAGACACCGGCGTCCTCGTGATGGTCGCGTGTCGTTTGGCGGTCGGAACTCGAGTGAGCGGTCCACAGTCCTCATCGGAGGAACAAGTATTTAAACCCACGAATGTAGAATAGCTGTAGAGCAGAACCACAATGAATGAAGTCGATCAATTTGTTTCATCCGAGCGCCTCTGGAAGCTAGTCTCGTATTTCAGTGACGAGTACATGCATATGTAGTATTTATCTGTTGCATCGTTGCCACGGGACTTGCTTCGAGACTTCGAGTCTAGGACCGAATATACAACCCATACGAATCGAACATGCAACCCGCGAGGATAGACGCGTTGCGAGGTGATCTCTTTCCGGGCAGGACAAGCTTGGAACCCACGTTGAAGGCAACGCACTCATGCTGCAACTTCGATTCGATGCTGGACAATGCGCGTTGTTATTAGTACCGTCGTCATAAGGACGAGGTTGTCTGTCCTTTGACAGTGCTGGAAATGGCTTGTGATAGCGGCGCCATCGCAGTCTACATTCGATGAAGCCATGAATTTCTGATGCCCGAATAGGTAGAACAGCAGACGGTATAGCTAACACGGTCTCGAACGGTGCTAGCTCAAGAGTATTATAACGATGCAGATTAATTCGAACCGCCACGTTCAGTTCCGGTTGGAAAGCTCAAGCCAGTGGGCATTGTGAGCGTCGTCGACGACGCATCGAAGAACGCAATGTACTGCTTTGAAGTGAAGCAGCAATTCGCAATGACAGCAGACAGCTTCAACGTCGAAGGCCAGCAATCTCTTTGCGAGCGCTCCTCCTTACAAATTCCAAGTGCCGACCCCTTGTTCCGTCTCTGCATTATCCATAATTAGCAATCCAACCCACCTTTATTTATCATCCAATCGTCTCACCGCCCCAGTCTTTTTTAAAATAGAAGAGATGCGCTAATCGACACCTCGTGCGTGACCGATTAGAGATGGCCGGGCCTGTTCCTGCGACGTGTGAGCTCTGGGTCAACACGCCCTTATGCCAACGGGGCCAGCCATTCCGCATCGAGCTCCTCGCCTCCAGCAGCTCACTTCTTCTTCCTCCTCTCCGTTCTATTAGTGCGCCATGACTGCCGCGACGTCCGGCCCCTTGTTGCGCCCGCTGCTGGCCGCCTGCTTCTCCGCCAGCGTGCACGGCGGCCGCGTGATCCGCGAGGTGGTGCAGCAGCACGTGGCGCTCGACATGGTCAACAAGCAGGAGGGCGCCTACGATCCGCAGACGGTGGCTGACCGCCGCTCGCAGCAGCGGATCATCCACGCGCTGCGCGAGGCCTTCCCGCTGCTGACCATCGTGGGCGAGGAGGGCGAGCTCGCCCCGCCCGCCCCCGAGGACGTGGTCAAGTGCGACCTGCACGCGCTGGACGACGTGGACTTCGAAGGCGGCGAAGACGCGCAGAACCGCGCGCTGGGCTGGAACGACCTCGTGCTGTGGGTCGACCCGCTGGACGGCACCAAGCGCTTCGCCGCCAAGCTCTACGACGAAGTGTCGGTGCTCATCGGCATCACGTACAAGCAGCGTCCCATCGCGGGCGTCGTCCACCTGCCCTTCCACGGCGAGCACGGCGTCACCTACTGGGGTACGCGCGCGCATCTTGTCTCACCAGTGTGGTATTGTATGAGTGGACTAAACGTTATGACTCTGCTTGTGTTGCAGGTGGCCCGGATGTTGGCGTGTTCCGCAGCGAGCACGAGGAGAGCGAAGCCCAGACGACGCACGCCAAGTTCCCCAAGCAGACGCCGACGTTCCCGCAGCGCTCGCTGGTCTGCACCGTGTCGTCGACCAACTGCGACCTCGTGAACAGTGCCATGCGGCTGCTGGTCCCCTCCTCGATCCTGACGGGCGGCGCTACTGGTACCATGGTGCTCGGAGTGATCACCGGCCACAGCGACGCCTTCTTCCGCTTCAAGGCGGCAACCCGCAAGTGGGATATTTGCGCGGTGGAGCCTCTAATCGAGGCCCTCGGCGGCAAGCTGACTGACACACAGGGCAACGAGTACGTGTACGACCACGTCGCCAACGCGCCCGACTTCGACAACGAGCGCGGACTGCTGGCGTGCGTTGAGCCCGAGGCACATCAAACGTTGCTGAACGTCATGGCCAAGGTCAATCTCACCAGGTAGATGGCTAGCTATACACAAAATACATTCATGTGTACTGATCTGCGGCGGCTTCTTGTGCTGCTTCCAGTGCGCTGGATGGCCGCGAGTTGACGCCGCAGTGGTTTCAAGAGTGTGTTTTCCCTGGGCGAAAAGTGACGGCAGTGCACGTCGTGCCCAGATCCATCCACCGAGGCAAGCACTCGGCTGTCGCGAAACTCGATGTCTATTTTGCAGACAATGGCAGCAAAACCACCGTGTTCCTGAAGAAGTCCGTGAAGAACGACCTCCCCGCGCGATCGGCTGCACACTGGAAACGGGATATCGCCTCGTATTGCAACGAGGCCACATTTTATTCGCATTTCGCGAGTGTTGTTCATGCGCGAGGAGTATCGCTGATCCGACCGCTCGCAGTGTTCCAGAGCAATGCTGCTGGCCAATGTACGGCCAACATGGTTGCAGCCACGGCCAGCGATGCAGAGCATGCAGCTACGTGCTCATGTCCGGAAAACTTCATGATGCTGCTCGAGTGCCTGGGATCAGCGTCTCCGGCATCGTCTGCGGCGGACGAGTCCTGCTCGCTGGCCAACTACGAGGCCGCTGACTGTCTTGAGCTCGCAGACACCCGCCAAGCATTGAGCTACCTTGCGGATCTCCACGCGTCGGCTTGGGGTCAAGAAGATCTGCTCGAAAATGCAGCTTCGGAGCTTTGGTCTGCTGCCTGCTGGTGGGCATTTCCGAAGCGAGGCGACAAGGAACTCGCCCAGGCGTCGGAGATTTGGTCGCAGATGCTTAGTCACTGGCTCAAGGTCTTTGAAGCTGAGTCATCGTTACCATCGACAGCAGGGCTCGAGTCTCTGGGCGAGCGCATGATCGAGGAAGCTGCGTACATCAGCAACTGTCTGTCCGTCGACGCCAACCCGGAGTTGAGAACGCTGGTGCATGGCGACTTCAAAAGCGCCAACCTGTTCTTCGAGGCGACATCGCGCAAGGTGGTGGCCTTCGACTGGCAGTGGAGTGGCGTGGGGATCGGAGCCATGGACGTGGCCAACCTGCTCAACACGTCGGTGAGTATCTCTCTGCTCGCCAGCGACGAGCACGAGCTTGAGCTGCTGCGGTTCTACTACGACTGCCTCAGCGAGAGACTGCAGGCGCTTGGGGCCACGTCTGACTTGCAGAAGAGCTACCCGTTCGAAGCCTTCGAGCGCCACTACATGCTGGCCTCGCTCGAGTACGCACGCTTGCTGATCTCCAACTTTTGGAAGCTCATGACGCCCGAGAGCTGCGCGGCCAAGGCCGGTAACGCCAACTGCGGCCTCGGGTACAGGTCGGCCCCGCATGTCGTGCGCATGGTGCGCAAGCTGCACCAGGGACTGGAACGCGTCAAGGCGGAGCGTGTGATGGTATAAATTACTACATTACTCTTGTTATCGGATCGGAGCTCGATGCGCTCGGATCGCTCGTGGGGCTGGTCGGATTCTAAACACTTTCTAGCCGGCCCCACTCTAGTCGCGCCTCTTACTTGTGTACATGCACGCTGCGCTCGACTTGCTACGGCGACGTTAAAACTTCTCATAAAAACTTGGTTCTTCTCTCGGGCGTGCGTGGTTGGGTTGGTACTTCACTGGAGTCTTCAGGTCATGCTGAAGTGCGAGAACGGCACGTGGTTCTCCTGCTCGGCGGCCTCGCGCTCCGCGTCCTGCTGGTAGTACGCTCGTCGCAGCGCGTTGGCCGAGCGCGACGTGGTGAGCATGTTGGGGCCCACGAAGTCCCGCGGCGTGACGGTGCCGTCCTCGCTGAAGCTAAAGCTGCTGCGCGAGCTGATGCTCGGCGACAGCGGAGCCTTGGCCACTTCGTCGTACGAGTTGAGGTTGGCCAGGAACTCAATGTACTCGGGGGCCTCGCTGGCCGCCGGGTGGGCCTCGATGGCCGTGAGCACGCGCTCCAGCGCGAGCCGCTTCTTCTGCAGGGCCGTCTGCGTCTCGCCCACGAAGAAGGTGAGCAGGCTGTCGTTGGGCAGCTTGGGCAGCGACGACTTGCCGCCCTTGGTCATGAGCGGGGCCACAGCCTCGTGCAGCCGCTTGAAGTCCTCGAAGCTGCGGCGCACCGCGTACGACTGCGTCGTGCAGGGCCGCGAGGCCAGCTTGGAGACGTCCGCGGCGTCGCGCTTCTTGAGGCGGGTGGCGCTGGCGTTGGGCGCCGCGTTCTCCTCGCCGAACGAGCGCGTGACGTGCAGCAGGTATCGCCAGGTGCCGGTCTTGCGGTCCTGCACGAGGCCGCGGATGGCCACGTGCTGCGAACTCTTGAAGCTCTCGTAGGGCATGGGGCGGCGACGAGCAGAGCGGACCGAGTCGGCGACGTCGAGCAAATGCGCGAATGACCCGCAGCCGAGCAGCTCCGCCGCGCCGCTGGGCTTGTCGCACGACGGCCGACGCGGCGACGCCGAATCCGGGAGCGTGCGTCGAAGTCCAACTCTGACGATGCAGGTTCTTTCGGGGGGCCCGTTTGCCGCGCCGTCGCCGATGCAAATCGTTGCGGGCCGCAGTTTCCTCGGCGACAGGCCCCGCGCACGCGCGTGCACTCGGCGTTATACATATCCGCGGCGAGATCCCCAGCGCCAGCGACAATGGCGAAGCCTGGCAGCGACATGGTCGTCGCCACCATGCGAGCTTCGGGCCGGGGATCACATCGGAGCGCGTAGGGGCAGAGCGCGCGTGTTGACAGCGGCCTTGAAGTTGACGAGGCCCCTGTTAAGCCTGGCGTTTGCCCTCCATCGAGGCTCGAGCGGGATCAGCCCGATCCGTGGCGGCGCTGGCGTGCGCGGCACCGGAGCTGCGGCCCCGACTCCGGGGCTGATTTTCAAATCAGGGGCCGATCTGGAACGCGCACGACACCGAGCGCTCACCTGCCGGCCAAAGATCCATGTTTCGCCCACGGACGCGTTCGATTTCGGCCCAGGTCGCCACACACGGTCGGACCCCGCCTGCATCGGCGGCCAGCACTGCCCGGAGCGAGCGAGCGCCAACGTGGCGCCCAGGCTCAGCGCGCCATGTTGGCCGCGCCGCTAACGGATCCCGAACCGCATTGCGGTGATCGCCCGCTTTAGCGGCGCAGGGGTGCTGCCGAGAAAGTTCTGCTTGGATCGCGCCGCTTCGAGCGATATAATATGGATCGCGGCTCGTCACGCCGAGGGCTTGCAGCGTTGCTTGCTTGCCAAGCAGTGCTTGGTTGGTTTGAAGACGACGCTGCCCGCTCAGCTGGCCGATCGGCGGCGGCGGATATGGAGCAACGGCGGAGAGAAACCGTGGCTGCCGGCCGCCTTGAACACGGCTTGCAGCCTGCGGCATCCGCTTCAACGTCGAGCAAAGAAGCCACGCGGTCAGTCGACGGCGGCGGCCATGATTCCCCACGCCAACGTCGCACTGCAAGCGTTTCAGAGGCCCGGCAGCGGATTGCTGAGCTGGGGCGGAGCAGTGTCGTGGGCGGCGACGATGACCAGCGCCGCGAGAGCAGCGCTGCAGGGGGGGGAGGCAGCGCCAAGCAGACTGCTTGAGTGGGGGCTGGAGACGCTACATGGCTGGGTCTGAATCAGCTACACATTCTGCGAAAGTGGAAAATTCCTCCGGGTGCGTGAATCTTCCGGCGGATCTGAAATGCCGCTTCGAGAGACAATGGGCTCGAATGTCACTGTGAAGCCTTGCGGCAGGGCGATGCTGCTTCTCAGCTCCCCTGCCTTCGTCTGCTGCGAGCAGCACTGCTCTGCGATGGCGTCGCCATGGCAAGGGCTCTCTCGCAGACTCCAAACCTCAAAGACAACAAACAAAGCGGACAGACAACCTCGTCCTTATGACGACGGTACTAATAACAACGCGCATTGTCCAGCATCGAATCGAAGTTGCAGCATGAGTGCGTTGCCTTCAACGTGGGTTCCAAGCTTGTCCTGCCCGGAAAGAGATCACCTCGCAACGCGTCTATCCTCGCGGGTTGCATGTTCGATTCGTATGGGTTGTATATTCGGTCCTAGACTCGAAGTCTCGAAGCAAGTCCCGTGGCAACGATGCAACAGATAAATACTACATATGCATGTACTCGTCACTGAAATACGAGACTAGCTTCCAGAGGCGCTCGGATGAAACAAATTGATCGACTTCATTCATTGTGGTTCTGCTCTACAGCTATTCTACATTCGTGGGTTTAAATACTTGTTCCTCCGATGAGGACTGTGGACCGCTCACTCGAGTTCCGACCGCCAAACGACACGCGACCATCACGAGGACGCCGGTGTCTACGACGACATGACGGACGCGCAGTTGAGCGCCGTCCACGCGGGGCTCGACGTCTTGCGGATCGAGCCCGTGCACTGGCCCGAGAGCGGCGCCATGACCTTGGCGCTGATGGACTCGTGGCCCAGGAACTCGAGCACGTCCGGCAGGTCGCGCGCCACGGGGTGGTTCAGGATGTCCATGACGATCTGCGCCAGCACCTGGCGCCGCTCGTCCAGCAGCGCCTGGTTGTCGGCCATCAGCAGCGTGATGAGACCGTCGGCCGGCAGCGGCGTGAGCTCGTCGCCCATGACGGACACCAGCGCCGTGTGGAGCTGCTTGAACTCGCTGAAGCGCCGGCTGATGACGTACTCGTGGCTGAAGCCCTCCTCCACGGGCCCGCGCGGCGATGAGTACGTGCTCGTGTTGCCGCGCTGCACGTGCAGCACGTACATCCACGCGCCCGTGGCCGGGTCCTGCACGACCTCGGTGATCTCGACCTGCTGCTGCGGCGTGAAGCTTTCGTACGGCATGATGGTGCGGCGGAGTGTGTGTGTGAAGTGGAAGACTCTAGCGTCTGTAGTAGTGTTGTAGTTGCAGTGCGGCTAGCTAGCTAGCTGTGCGTGATGCTATTGCTGCTTCTGCTTGCGGTGACTTCGGCTGGCTGCTCAAAATGTGCAATGGCAGCCAAGTCGCCTCGCTCACTCCGTGCGCCGGCCGGCAACAACAGACGACGGCTGCTCCTGATGGGGCCGTGACCGACGATCGATCGAGGAAAGAGGGCGCGCGTCTCTCCGCCGGCTGGAAGCGCCCGGTCCTCGCCACGTTCGACAGTTAAACGCGGAAGGTGGATTTTGCCGGCGGCTGTTTCCGACTTGACTTGCTTTTTGTGAGCGGAAAATGACGGAAGCTCGCAGCGTTTCGCAAATGTTGGCTAATGTGCGGCCCTTTGCCGGGATTTTGGGCGCGCAGTTGCCTCTGAAAAGTGCAGGGTTTTGCCGCGGGTAGGCGAGCACGCGCGTCGGAGCTGCGCGCTCGTTCGTGAGTGCCTCGGCGCTCGCTCGGCTCTTGTCGCCGCCGACGATGCGAGAAACGGATGCAGTCGTGGCGTCGCCCCGCAGCGTGCTCGCTTTCGTGCGCTGGGGCGGCTGGCGGCCTCGCACCGAGTCATACGGCCCGATGCGGCGCGGTGCAGGCCCGGGAGCTGCAGGCTCCGAGCCCTAGCTTATCTTCTCGTCAGCTTGGCTATTGGCGGGGTCGGCGCTAGGTAACGGGGACGGCCACCGACACCGCCGCGGACAGAACGCACGCACGAGGACCGCGGAAAGCGGCCTCGATTATGATGCTGGAAGTCGGGAATAGATAGAGGAGATACCCCCGAGGTTCCACAAAAGCGTCGAGTAAGGTAAGCTCAACACTGGACTTGACCACTCGGCCAAGCTGAGCGAGCAGGTTCTGCGACGGCGCCGACACATGGCCGCTCAAACAGGCGCCGACTCCGGCAAGAGCTCTCTCGCCTGTTTGCCACGAAGGCGGACCATGGAGCTCGGCGGCGGGCTGGTGTCCGACACCTGCAGGCTGCAGGCATAGAGCGAAAGCAGGGCTGCTCGGCTCGGGCTGGCAAGCAAATCGGAACCGGCACGCCATGCTGATACGGTGCACCGCGAAGCTGGCGCCAGGCCCAGGCGGTCTATGCACGGCGTGTGTCGCTGACAGGCAAAAGGGTAAACTCGCCGCTGCATCATCGCGGCGCGAGCGGCAAAAGTCATGTTTCGTGTAGGCAGAACTGGGGACTTGCACGATCACATACCCCGTACAAGTCGGACATGTTGAAAGAGCGTGTTTCTAAGGGGTTAGTGGTGATTTCTTGGATAGTCATAAACTCTAGAAAACGTACGTGTATACCCCATTGAAAAAGAACTGAGAGTATCATCGCCATTCGGAGGAAGCGTGACACCAGCACGACCGATGTTAGGCAATGCGCTGTTAGTCCGGTCGAGTCAAGTTACTGCCCCTCGAAAGCTTGAAAGCTTGATGCGCCTGTTGCCACTAGCAGAGAGCTCCGCCGAAGCAGCAGCGCTCGCGGCACGCCCCTCAACGTCAACTGCAGCGTCAAAATGCTACACGAACCAATCGATAGGCGCGGCCCGCAACGCCACGAGGTGGTTGAGGCTGCGCCAAATGCAAGCCTCGCCCCGCCTTCTCGGCGTCGAAAAGGGTCTGCAACGACTCGTTTCGCTGTTGCCGATGAGTGGGTGAGTGAGTGAGTGCCGAGGTGGCCGCGAGGCGAGCGGATCTCTACGAAATGTGCAGGTCGCCGCCCCTTATCTGCCCGCTCACTTGACGTGGCTCGTGCGCTCGTCGTCGTCGATCGTCCTGAAGCAATGGGGACAAGAGATGGCATCTCGGCGTCCATCTCGAAGCTGTCTATGTCCTCCGCCGAGCAACTTCAAAGACGGCAACGGCTCTGCTGCCTTTCGCGATCGTCCGTTGCAGTGCGTGCAGTGGCGCGAGGCCTGCCACGCGGCGGTCGATCAAGGCCAGCTCGATTTCCCGGAGAGGGCTGACAATTCGACCAGAATCTCGGAGCGGCACCGGTGCCGAATGTCAAATTTGTCAAATTTGTCGAGTCATGAAGAATCCCGGTGCCGCCCGCAAATGGTGGACACACTGACGCCACCTTCCCTGCCTGCACCGAGACCACATCTGGCCAAGCTCCTGCTGTCGCCACCGCCTCACAAAGGTGAAAATCCACCCGAGCCCAATGTAAAAATGTAACTTGAGAATTCGCAGCCTGCTGCTCGCCTCCTTTCCGCCAGAAGCGAGCGCTTGGTGCTGTCCGCCGCGGGCTCGTCATGTCACTGGGCAGCGGGCACCGCCAGCTCCGATGGTGGGGCAACGCATGGATGGATGGCTGCAAGTTGCAGCCCCTACGTTCTTGGCTTGCAAATACGCTGAAGTGTACATGCTTTTCTTCCCTTTTGGCGATTCTTTGCCTGTCCAAACTCTCGGGACGACACCTCGACTTGTTCGTATTTATGGCAAAGCGCTGTGTACATGTAGTTATGGCGGCCGCGTCGTTACTAATGGCAAGCCCAAGGCCGCGAATCGTGATGGTCTCTCCATAGCAAGTGGCAATGCGATCGTCCGAATGTCCTGTTTTCTCTTGCTCAGCTTGCCCCAGGCGTCCTGCTGTTACGGCACATTATTACCTATGCCCACGCGGCCAGCACGGCCATGCTGGCCATGCCCGCGGAGAAGAGCGCGAGCTTCTCGATGGTGTGGCTCTCCTGGCTCGCGTTCTCCTCCGACAGCTCGTGGAACGCCAGGTAGATGAAGCTGCCCGACGCGATGCTCAGCGCCACGGCCTCCATGGCCAGCGCGCTGCTGCCGCGTAAGGAATCGGACAGCACCATGCCCAGGAAGATGCCGAGCGGCGTCATGCAGCTGTAGAGCGTCAGCACGGCGATGGACCGCTGGTGGGCGATGCTGCTCTTGGCCTTGGCGAAGTTGGCGCCCACCGACATGGCCTCGATGAACTGAATCAAACAAACGCACACGTGTCAGCACGTTGAACTGGGTCAAGTGGGCCAGCTCACTTCAACATGATTGCCACTCTGGCCGGGATCCGTATCCTATTTACCTTGTGGCTGAAGATGGCAACAGTGGTGGCCACGGCCGTCCGGTCCATGGAGTGGTTGACTCCGAGCGCGAAGCCAGCGATGAGCGAGTGCACCGAGAAGAGCGCGGCTAATAAATAGGGGAGAAAGTAGCTGCACAGTCCAAGTCAACCGTAACACAAAAGTGTAGCACTCACTTGTCGTGGTTGCTACAAACATGAGTATGCTCGGCACTGTACCTCTCACCGGAGAACACGATATGCTCGCTGACTGTGGATTCCGTCTCGTGACTCTCCTCGAGCAACCCAGTCGTAACGTTAGCGGACTCGTACTCCATCACGACCTGAGCTCCCACACCGTTCACAAGCTGCACTCAACAGTGTTAAGCGTGATATACGTACTCATCATTACAAAGACTGCCTTTCAACGCACCTTGACGCCGCTCGGCGTGAGCAGGCACGTGCCCTCCTCCATTTTGGCAGCGCGATGGAACATCGAAGGTGATGACACGGTGCCGCACGAGCACGAGTAGAAGCGCTCCTTGCCGTCCACGGAGACCGATCGATTCCTCCACCCGAACGAGGTCACGGACGGGATCTGCACTCGGTACATGCTGGTCTCATCTGTTCAACCCAACGTCAGTCCTCTCTTCAACATCATCATGCCGGCCCAGCAGGCCACGCAGTACGTACGGTCGGGCCGAGCAGCACTGGCCACGGCCATGAGCTTGCCGGAGTTGCCCATGTTAAGCAGGTCCACGCTCCAGACGATGGAGCAGCCCAAGGCACAGAGCAGGTAGACGCTCGGGAACGCCGTCATCCAGTGCGGCGGCACGTCCATCCTGGCCACCACCTCGTCGTACAGCTTGACTGCATCCGGCAGCAAGTGCAGCAGCCCGGAGCCCAGGAACACGCCGGCCGTCGCGAACGGCAGCTTGCGGCTCAGCAGGTTCTGCGCGCGCCGCGTGCCGTGGCTCGACACCCACAAGGGCAGCAGGGCCGACGCGGCCGTGATCACCAGCAGCACGGCCATGGCCGCGTACTTGAACACGCGCACGGTCTCCATGGACGCCGCCTCGACGTCGTCGCCCACAGCCGCCACCATCGCTCGATACTGAATTGGCCGGATCCAGTGACTCGGATCCAACAGCTTCTGTAGCTCCTCGGCGATTTGGGCCGACGCGGGCGAGAGATGGCCTGACTACTGCGACAGACGCGAGTCAAGATCGCGACTTGAACCGGCGCTGGTTCATCAGATCGAGCGGCGCCGGTCGCGAGGCCCTTCAGAGAACTATTCCCCCGCTTTCGGAGATCGTCTAGGAGTCCGCGTGATGATGGCCAAGCTGGGCTGCTTAGTGGCCCTGGGGCTGCTGTGCGGGCCGGGCCACGGTAGGCCGTGTTCCAGGTTGAGGTGACTTGAAGTGGCCCGACCTGACCGGGGTCTCTCTCTCTCTCTCTCTCTCTCTCTCTCTCTCTCTTGTTGTGGACAGCTCTGCGGTCGTGCACCAAGGGCGGCCAAGTGCGCGTCCCGTGCGCGGACGAGCTGCTGCTGGGCCGGTCGGACCGGTTCCTGCTCACGCTCTTCGGCCACTCGTGCTATACGATGAACATCGTGTCGCCGCAGCCGCTCGAGGTGCAGTTCTACGACTCGAGGGACCTCAAGAGCGGCCAGCTCAACACGGCCCCGGCCGTCCGCAAGCTGCAGGAGTCGACGGAGGAGGAGGAGGCGCTTAATGCGACGCTCAACAGCCTGGCCGCGTTGGGCGACAACAAGGCGTGCCACAACGTGCTGAGCTGCTACCAGCTACAGGAGGGACTGTCCAAGGCCGCAGTCTACAACTTGGTCATCTCCCGCTGGGCCAATGTCAGCGCCGACCCGACGGAGGATGGCCAGCAGGAGCAGGTGCAGGAGCAGGACGCCCCCATTAGAGTCGCCGTGGAGCTGGAACACTGCGACCCAGTATCACCCTGGCACTACGTCGGTACGTGGAGCTACTGAGTAGATATGGAGGGGTGATCCTATCCTGTTCTAACGGTAGAGCTGTTGTTATACTGTAGGCCTGGTGTTCGTGGGGAGCATCGGCTTCACGTCGACGATGCTGCTGCTGTGCATTGTCGGCGAGTTCGTTCTCGGGCTGCGGACCATCACGAAGCTGCAGGCGGCAGCGCAGAGAGACCGACTCGTGGAGCTGGCCCAGATCGACCCGACCAAGATGAAGAAGGAGGTCGAGAAGAGCTCCGAGGATTCGGACGATTCGGAGGAACCGGAGCCGACGGCGCCGCTCATGTCGACAGGAACGTCGGCGGACTCGGAGCCAACTGCGGAGCCCGAGGCCCGCTCTCCAGCTTGAAGACAAGCGGAACTAATTCTTACGTTGTAGCAGTATGACATTGGTAATGAAAGTCGCGTTTCATGGCGAAAAGCTAGCAGCAAATGCTTGCCGAGGAAGCACCAAATGCCGCAGGTGGCGATGGACTAAAGCAAGTTGCCTACAGGTACATGTAGCAAACTTGATTCACTCCTCGTCTTGTTGTACGGGGCTGACGCACTCACGCATCAGTGATGTTTGGGCTGATCTGCTGCAAATTCACCAGAGAGAATGCGCGTCTTGAGCGCGTGGAAGTTTGTATCTTCTCCCTCGAACGTCAGTCGCTTCTGAGCCTTGAGGAGAATGCGCATCTCGTTCTGGTTGTTCTCGTCAACCTCGAGGCCCTTGTCGATGGTCTTGAAATGGTCCTTGTCATCAAGGTTGAGGACGGTGAAGTAGCTTGCAACACGAGACAAAATACCTGGCTCAGTCCAAGCAATGGAGTGAAACACTCCTTAGTAGTAACATGAGACGTACCCGCTGTGAGACTTTCGCTTGCCGCCGTCAATGATCGAGTCAATTAGCACTTCGACCTCGACCTCCAGGTGAAAACGACTGCGATACAGCAGCACAGTTACTGTTGTGATTGCAGATACTTCGCACCAAAACATGACCGACTTACTCGACGTTGACGACGCGAGCACGCATCTTGACCATGTCGAGCATCAGAATCGGCAGCTTGAAGAGCACGCGGTTCATGGCAATGGTCACCATTTTCTCTGATCGGGTGAACTTCTGAGCGCAGCGTAGAGCGATTTTGTCCTGGTACACACCACTAATGTGAGATTTCCCTTCCCTCTTCTCTTGTCATCGCATTCAGAGCAATTCGTACCATCCAAGAGAGCAAGTCGCCGCCGAAGACCGTGTCGTGCGGATTGAGGTGGCGAGGCAAGAAGCAGTTGCGCACTTCGACCTCCGTCTCACTCACAGAGACGTACTCGGTTTTGCTCTCACTCGGAAGCAAGTCTTCCTGCTTTATGAACGGAAGTTTGTCCACCGCTTCTTGGTCCTTCATCCACTGGAAAGAGAGTTCCTTGCGCTGTCTTGCAAGCTCACCCATTCTCGCGCAGTAGTCGGCACGATCCGCATCGAGTGGCTGGGGAAAACCCTTCCTAGGGCGTCCGAAGCGGTTGATGGCAACCATCGTGATGATGGCGTCGTGTGTGTGCTGGAGCGTGTCTGTTGCGATATCGTGGCGGAAAACCCTCACTTGCACTGCCATCGACGAGTTCCCGAGGCCAATTACCTCCCCTTCCAGCCGCACATGGTCACCATGGAACACAGGCTTGATGAGGTCTACACGATCGAAAGAGATCGTCGCTGCTGCCCCCATCGAGAGCCTGTTATACATGCATGCAACACCAGTTAGATCAATTCTTCCCAACACTCATCTCGATGTGCCTTCGGTACCGATACGAAATGGCCCCAGCTACCACATCCATGAGGGCCAGGATCGGCCCCGTGCGAAGCATTCTCCTCTTGGTTTTCATCACCCTACGGTAGTCCATTCGAGACATGAGACCGTAAAGCGAATATATCAATGCACGTAGCCTAAATTTCGTACGATAACGTCGGTGATAATCGATTGAGTGTCTTTCGGGCGCACTTGCGCAGGCATACGCCGCATGCGCCATAGGTCCTTGGCTGTGCCGATCAACGCCTTCAGAAGCATCGTTCATGTATCGAGCGGACGCACGTTCGGCTTTTACGTCGGCTTCAACTCACTTTGACAAAGATCAGATACAGGTTACAGCACTCAGTTCACATTTATATTGCCAGGTCTAATGGTGCTTATGGCGGCCAAATCGGAAGGCTAGCACTACAATAGCTGCGAGCTGCAACGCTGCTGCGTACCCCACGAGAATGAGCATGTTGCGAGACACGTTGACGTTCTCCACGCCGTAGCTTTTCAGCAGCTCCCAGGCCTCCTCTGTGTTCACTTGCGAGAAATGCTCGTACATGAACGCCTCGAACGAGTACGTGTGGAACGCGAGGTAGTAGCCCCACTTCCAGTACGCAGGGATCGCATCGAATGGCACCATAAAGCCTTCGCACAGCATGAACATGCCGAAGAGCCCAGCGCCCAGTGCGATGCCCATTATATAGTGCGGCACCGCAGCACCCAGCAAGTGCATCATGGACTCGGCCGTGACCAGCGACAGCGTCAGGTTAAGGAAGAAGGACCCGAACGAGTGCACGTGGGCGAAGTAGACGACGATGAATGCCGCCAACAACGAGATGAACATGACGCCGGGCAGCGCACCGAGGAGATTGGCCGTCGTGTAGCTCGCGAGGTGCAGGGAATGGGACCGAACTTCGCGCTCTAACACTGCGCGTTGCTCCAATAGAGCGGGCAGAGCTGCAACGGACATGAAGACCAAGAAGGCCTGCACGTAGAAGAGTAGCGGCACCATAGCGGAACTTGTAATGTCTTGGTTGGAGCTCAAGTACATGGTGCCGACCATGAAGGACAGCAAGATGTACATGAGCACGCGCAGCCAGAACACGCCCGGGTGGCGCCAATTGTTGACCAGGTTGCGATGCAATAGCACGCAGAACTGGTCGAGTCTTGACGGCCGCATGGCTCGCAGGATGGCGACGTTGATGATGTTGACGTCCCGCATGTAGCGATCTCGAGCCACGTCAACGCGCAGTCGCTGCGGCTCGGCGCCTTCTTCCAGTGCTTCTACGAACGGGCCAAGCTTCAACCCCGGATGGAAGTCCACGTTGACTAGATGCACAAAAAACTCCGCCGGATTCGAATAGAGTGGGCACACGTAGCCCATGGAGAAGAAGTGTGTGAGAGCTGCTGCCGCGGGGCCGAAGTACACGAGCTCTCCGTCGCTCAGGATCACCAAGTTCGTCAGCATCTCGAACACTGAAGACGAAGGCTGGTGGATGGTGCAGATGACGTTCTTGCCGTCTTCTAGACACAGTCGCTCGATATGCTGCATCATACTCCGAGCTGACGAGGCGTCGAGGCCCGATGTTGGCTCGTCCAGCAGTATCAACGCTGGGTCTGAGAGCAGCTCTACAGCAATACCGAGTCGCTTGCGCTGGCCAGACGAAATGCCCTTGTGGAAGATGTCCCCGACGTTCGCATGCATACACGCGCGCAGCCCCATAGCGTCGATTACGTCTTGAACTCGAGACTCGCGCGTAAGTATTGGTACGTGGCTGGGCAGCCCAAGGCCCGCAGCGATCTGCAGTGTCTCAAGAACGGAGAAGGATCCGAGGAACGCCATGTCCTGCGAGACGTAGTTCATGATGTAGTGGAAGCTGCGAGGGTTCCGAGGATGGCCATTTACATCGACAATGCCTTCGACACGCACGCCGGGACCTCCAGGCGGCACTCGATCCGCTAGAATGTCGAGTAAAGTGGTCTTGCCAGCCCCGGAGGGGCCTATGATAGCGGTGAGGTCTCCGGGCCCCGATCGGCCCCACACATTGCTCAGAATCTTGCGCGGTTGTTGGTTACTTGATCCGCTCTTGGTGCTTGTGCACTTCGACAACCAGCGCTTCTTGGGCTGGATGATGTACGACACGTGCTGCCAACTGATGCAACATTGCTGCAAGGAACGGCGCTGACGACGCTGAGCAGACTCGCACTCTGCTGTGAAGTTGAAGGACTTGGCCTTCCCCTCTGTACTGACAGCACAGTCGACCGCGATGGCGTCCAGACACCCGTAGTGAGCCTCCACGGCGTTCGAAGGAGACATGAGGTCGCTTTGGGGCGTCGTCAAGCTGCACCCGTGTCCAGTCTCGAGCTCTGCGTTGCCGATGGCATGGCCGATACCGGACGAGGAGCTGGGGACCTCGTCGTCGGATGCTTCGTATGGAGTTGGCGTGAGCGGCGTGTTGCTGGAAATGCAGGTATCGGCCATGGATCCCGCGAGTCGTCCGCGCATGTCGCTCGGAGAAATGATGGAGTGGAGCGGGAGGGTGACAACCTGTCACGGGGACCACGCTTTGCACTATGCTGGAGGTTACACGAACGTAGTTAGTTGTTCTCCTGGCGCTTCCTCCTTGATAGACAGACACTTTTCCGCCGCTGGAAGGAAGGAACGACGCGCGCGAATCCTATTCACGCGCGAGATGGTTACGACTCGCAGCACGACCGCAATCGCAGAAGACACACACACGCGCGCTTGGAGGTGGTGCTGACAACAGCCCAGAGCATGCAGCAGCAAACGCGCTCTGCGTCTGTCTGTCCAGGACGAGTCTTCCGCGGAAATATGGCTGCAGCGCTCGTCGAGCGTTTCACGGATAGCAGCAAGGGCTCTCTTCCAGCAATACTCCGCACCTCGGACAAGTCCGGTTCTCGGACGAACGGCACGAAGGTATCAAGAAGAGCATGTCATGTTGATCGAGATGGCTCTGAATGCCCCTGGATTGCTGGAAAATGCTTCAACGTTGCTGAGGTGGGGGGGGGGGCCATTAGTCGAGTTGAGAAGGCTAACGCTATCATTATGAGCACGTTTACAGCCACCGACACCCATGGAATACCGTCAACGCACTGGGAGGTGGCAGATGATTCACGTTAGCATGTAATGGCCGACAAGCTGGCTGTATCTGCGACGCAAGAGCGCTCGTGCTCGTCCAGACGCGCTGTCTGGCTGCTTCGGAGGCTGAAATCGTCTAGCAGCGCCGTCCTCTCTCTCGCTTCGTACTATGCAGCAGACATGCGGTGCCGAGGAGCTCATATGAGTTGGCTCCTGTCTGCGCTAGTCGTCGGTCAGCGTTGGATATTGCGATGAGTACACAGCGCCACGAAGCCGCGAGCAGCGCCAGCGACTTGCAGGATAAGAGCGACTGTCGACGAATCGCACCGGTCGCGACTGACGATCAAACTGAGCTTGGCCAAGACAGAGAGAGAGAGAGAGGGAGAGGGAGATAGAGACCCAATCTCGCCTCAATGGCGCCTTATTCAGCCCAGTGTGCAGCAGTTCAGCAGGATAAACGCAGCACAACTGCCATCAGAGGTGTGCGCTTGAACGGACACAAGTTGAAGTGGTGCCGACTTAATTGCTACCTTCGTGTAATTGGCTGAAAAGAGCCCATTCACGATCTTTGATTGGCTGATGGTCGAAGAATTACGGACACTTTAGTCGATTCGCTAATTCCGCGTCGTAAACATCGGAACCGCGGATACCTTCCCAGCTGGGCATCAACAACGCCGCGAGCGATTCCGCGACGCGGTAGTCGTCGGCATGCCCCCACATGGGCAATAGGAACCATCACCAGCAACGAGGGCAACAGCGACACCACATTGGCAGCTCAGGCACTATGAGAGACGACCGGGACCCCGAGAAGCGTTTTTAGCATCATTATCCCGCTTAAGTTTACATGAGACATGACGACGCGGCTGCATCCGTCCAAGGAACAGTTTTACCAAGAACGTACACTTTACTTAAGCGAGCTGACTCAGTACCAAGACCTTCAATACTACAAATCACTATATAGATAGTTTTGTGTCACCTATCAGGTTTGGCAGAACTCCTGAATCAACATCATATGCGCGTCTAAATTACAATTCCAGCAATCGTAAGAACTATACGGAGGGAATCGCCTCGTGCGAGGTTATCCCGACGTTCCGCCCAGCTCTCGTCACTTCACACTTCGACTCGAAAAGCGCCAGCAGAGACCAAACGTGCAGAGCACTGACCGCCTGCCTCCGAGCGAGATGGGGGCCGGCGAACGCATCGCAATGCCCCGCTTCCTGCGCGAGACCTCCCGCGAGCGCGCGCCCGACGTGGCGCCCTCCGCCCCCGCTTCCGCCTCCGCGTCGCCGTCGCCAGCGTCTCCAAGCGCCGGCGACGCGGAGCCGTCCATGGTCGAGGAGCTCCAGCGACGCAAAGCCGCCTTCTTGGCGCACTTCAAGAGCAACAGCGCGCCCGTGAGCAGCGCCGACGACGCGGCCGGACCCACGGCCTCGGACTTCAGCAGCCAGCGCTCGCTGGACGCCGCGATGGCGCCCCACAGCGGCGCGGACTCCAAGTGTCACGTGTGCAATGTCCCTCTCCGGCTTTTGCGACTTCGGGTGGGTTTTATTAGACTTTGTTTGGGTGAATTCGTGGGTCCTATTAGACTGATGATGGGTTTTATTGGCGTGAATGCGACAGCATCGGTGCCGGAATTGCGGGCTGGCCGTGTGTGGCGTGCACAGCAAGAACCAAGTGCCGCTGCCCCACTTGGGCATCATGAAGGAGGTGCGAGTGTGCGACCTGTGCACGAGGCAGTTGGTGCAGCGTCGAGCGGGCTACCGCAGCCCGAAGAACTCCAGGTCGAGGCAGAACTCGAACCCGAACTATGTTGAGCGAGAGAGCGACCCGGAGCTGTCGCCGCTGACGGGGGACAGGATGCCGGTGCCGCTGGCTCCGTTGACGCCGCCTGAATCGGGAAAAGATTTGGACGTGATGGTCTCAACGCCTGATGCCGGTGGTCGCGGCAGCTTCAGCTTGAACACATTGGGCAGTGGCGTGGTGAATAGTGGCTCTAATGCCTTGCCCGGCATTCTGTACAGCTGCCTGCTGGAGGAGCAGGACAACACGATGGATGAGATTTTGTACCTGGGCACGTTCACGATGGGTGGGCGATCCCTGGCGAGTCGACGTATGAGTGCCAATGTGGCGCTGTGGAAGTGGCGAATCTTCATGCTGACGACGGCGGAGCTGCTGTGCTTCAAGGCCACAGGATCGATTAGCGATGATGACTCAGCTCCGTTGTCGGCGATGGCGCTGGGCGAGGTGCGATCGTCGGTTCACCTGTCGGATATTTTGCACATCGAAGTGAACGACCAATTCCCGCGTATTCTCACTGTGATCCGATCGGACGGCCGGGTGTTCCGTGTGCGTGCGCGCACCCCAGAGCAGTGCACGGAGATCGCGGCGGCACTACGCAAAGCAATGCAGCTCTTCCAAGACGCCCTATTCAAGCTGCAGCGTGGCCCTCAGCCTGAGGACAACTCCATCAGTTGCGTCACCGTCCAGCACGAGTCGTCGCTCCCCGAGTCGATCGTCATCAGCAACCCTGCTGTTGGCGAAGCTTTCCAAGTGGAGATGTATCCCTCGAGTATTCTCCGATTCTACGTGAACGGTCCTTCTGCTAATGGAACCGCGCTCTACTCGTGCGAAATGCTTACTCGCGGGAAGAAGGAGGTTGCTGTAGAAGCCGAACCGTTAGGGAACGGTCCACGCGACGACCATGTACTGCATGTTGCCGTGAAGTCGGAGAAGACTTCGGGCAGCCTGGAAGACTCGGACGAGACAAATCGTCGTTTCTGGGGTCTTACGTCGTTCCTGGCAGCGGTTGCGGCCGTCATGAACTCGATGGACAACGGCTCGTTCGAACTGCTGGCGTGGCTGTCGGCTCTCGTTCTTTTCCTCACCCGCTTCCACGAACGTATCAGCGTGTTGCTCACGACTAGGAGATTTTCCCGCGCGCAGCAGTTGCGCGTCGAGTGTGTCAGCATCACGATGGGCAAGAGTGAAGGCTCATTGGAGGGCGATGATGACGAGCACGGCGAAGAGAAGGGTGAGGTGAACACTCGCTTCTTGGCCGGCTGTGAAGGCGATGTCGAGGAAGCAAAGGAGCGTTATGCTGCCACGATGAAGTGGCGGAAGGAGAACGACGTGGATACGATTTTGATGCGTCCGTCGCACGTGTTCACCGACATGAAGGAGTGCTTCACGCACTTTTTGCACAAAAAGGATCGACAGGGTCACCTCATCTCGTACGAGTTTCTTGGCGGTCAACGGAAGGCGCTACACGATTTCACGGCTCGTGGAGTTACTGAACTCGAGGCTATTATGCACCACGTGCGCATGATGGAGTTTATGTGGAATGTTGTCGACCCGCGAGAGTTTCCCGATGGCAACATGCTCAAAATCTATGATATCAAGGGCATTTCCATGGCCGACATGTCCAGCGATGTGGTCAACTACACGAAAAAATGGGGCGAGGTGATTGCCACTTACAACCCTGAACGTGTGTACCAAGTGTTCATCATCAACCCGCCAGCTTGGTTCAACCTCATCTGGAAGCTTGTCTCGCCACTCGTCAACCCCAAGACGCGCGAGCGTATTCACGTACTACGCGGGCAAAAAGACATCACAAAGGCACTGCTGGAGTTTGTTGCCCCGGAGAACCTACCGAAGGAATACGGTGGTGAGTGCCAGTGTGAAGGCGGGTGCTTCACCCACTCACCAGAAGAGAATGACATTCGTGAGTGGACGGAGTTCGTCAACGCCAACTACCATGGCGACGTTAACGACCCCGTCCTCGTCGAAGCGTTCGATAAACTCCGCGGCAAGTATCAGAAGCAGCTTCCACCCCCGGGCTCCAACACCGTCGCACCAGCATTACCGAATGGTACTCTGCCATGAGCTGTTCACACGAAGTATCAGCTTTAGCTAGCTAATTATTCACATAGCCTTACTCTGAAGTGACTCGCACTCACGCGCAAGTCGGAACTAAATGATTACACAAACTTAGTTGCTGTTGTTGCTGTCTTCGAGGTGCATGAGGTCAACTAGGTGGCGGAGAGTAGGGCGCCTGTAGAAAGAGATAAAAAAGCTCGTGAGAACCCACGCTATGGCCAAATACCAGCAGTACGCTTACCCATGCGGACAATTCCAAGGTTGATCCAGGCCAGACAGGTTGCGAACAATCTGCGCACAACGATGGTAAGCACGAAAGCAAACCACTATCTATTCCTACGCCACATACCTTCTGCATTTCTTCCTTGTGAAGAGCAGTACCAATCATGATCGAGCTTCTGCACGCTCGCGACGCAAACATTGCCATTACCTTGGGCAGGCGAATAGTGGTCGGATTAAGCGGAGCGTCCATCAGTAGCGATGCTAGTTCCCGAATGTCTGTTGTCAAAACACGAAGCTACAGTGAATACTTGAAGAACTCGCAGCAATCATAACTGTGGTGACTTACCTTCGGTACCAAACTGCGTGTGCTTGGTGAATGGCAATGAGAGCAGCTTCAATTTTTTTGTTGCAGGGGCATCTTTATCTACCAAAAAGGTGAATCCATTCTTGGCGAAGACATCCAGATGGTCCAATATGACCATTTCTTCGCCGGCCGTCAGCTCCAGTATCAGCGGTCGGACGAGAGGCTGCTGGTGCATCACCGTCGTCTGCTGCAACGTTTCATAGTTGAATTTTTCATCGCTTGCATGCTGGTCGATGATGAAAAGATCATTATCGAGCTTGCCGATAATAAATCCAAGGTTGAACTGTCCGAGAACCTGCATCCGCTTGAAATCTTCCTTTTTGAGAACGCGTTGCAATGCGGCAGCAGCAACCTCGTTGTCTGTTGCAGTAGCACCATCGACCGATGTGGAGCAGGTCTTCGGCACCTTAAGATGGTTCGTCTTGCGCTTCTTTTCGTACTCCACTTCTCCCTCAAAATACTGTTGTCTCTGTTTGATCATCTCGTCAAATGACCACACGTGTTCTTCCGGTGTCGAGGGAGTTGACTCTGATGGTAAAGAGGGGTAGAGTTTTTGCCGCTTGGCAGGCTTCCGCAAATCCAACACGACCGACTCTGGGGATGATGGAGGGGAAGCAGGACTCGTCTTTGGTGACAGTACAACTACCGGCTTGCCGCTTTGCCCCGGTTGTTCAGGAGTGCGTATCGTGCTTATTTCACGCTGAACCTTGGGCTGAAGAACTTCGACAATGACATGTTTTGCTTTCGGTAGCTCAGGTTCAACCCTTTGCGCTTGGGAGGAATCGTCTTGAGCAGTTTTCGTAGTCACCTCACCGTCACTGCCATCTTCGTTTTCATCATCTCCGGCTTGAACAGCAGGTACGCGTTCCGTTTGAGTCTTTGACTGTTCGAAATCATTCTTTTGAGGTGTAGCCAGGGGAGACTTTTTCGTTGATTCTTCTGATTTTGTGGTGCGAGCGAATGCTGTCATCAATGGCTGGACTGTAAAAGTTCCTCGGCTTGGCTCGTACAATTTGTTAAGTCCTGTTCTGAAAGCGTCGATAATTTCCGCTTCCTAAAGCACAACACGTAAAATTTATGTTGGGGGTCAGTTATTTACCTAACCAGTGCAGCGTGACTAAACCACGTACATGCTTCACAAACGTCTCACGCTTGTCTGGAGTGACATTCACATCGTAGTCGCCAAGAGGGAGATGAAAGTTAAGCACGCAAGCAGGCTTTTGCTTCATTTCGTATTGTCGCCACACTTCATTCAGCGTCTTCGACATCTAATAGCACAATGTTGGTACGATGCGTTAGTATCTTCAATTCAAATATAAAAGCAACCAGCAAACACACCTTTGGCAAATCAAATGGCCGCCCGTTGATGAAGAAAAACTGACGATCATTGTCACTCCTGCCGACACCAGCGCCAACCTTCGACACAAAGCCCTCCACCTTGCGTTTCTGTCCGCTCAAATTGTCGTCTTCCATTGCAGAGCTCTTCTGCTCACTGTCACTGTCACAATCACCATCACTATCGCCGCCCTTATTCTCTGTTTCCACTTTCAAAGCACCACGCAACTCGAAATCCACACGAAGCAGCGTCCTGAAGAACTTGGTACCAAACACATTGGCAATGTTCTCCCCCATCGTCTGGTGTGCTTGTGTAGCCAGCACCACGTGCCGATTCGCATTCTTTCCCGTGATATTAAACACACAGATCTTGACGTTCGCGCAGCTCACAGCGTAGGCCTGCAGCACCTTGAGCAGCTTGGCGTAGTGCTTCTTAATGTTACGCTGGAAGTCCTTGTACCGCACCGCCAGTGGCTACAAAACATCAAAAAGTAATAAATCAACGCTTTCACTCTCAACTTCCTCTCTTCACCTTCCGTGGCTCTCCTCACCTTGAAGAGCTCTTCCACGGAGACCGTGGTCCCTACAGGCCTCGCCTTCTTCGTCTCCTTCACCAGCTGTCCGCTCGTATCGTACTCCAGAAGCGCCCCCACCGCCTCGTTCTGCGTCCTCGTACACACAGAGAAGCTCGCTGCCAACTCACAGACCGAGCTCAACGCCTCACCTCTAACGAAGAAAAACAAATAATTGCTTAGAGCCTCATGGGAAAGTATCATGTTTCCACCGCCCAGGCCGCACCGGAAGCCGAAGGACGCGACGGTCTCGATGTCCTCGAAGCTGCTGATCTTGCTCGTGTAATGCTTGCGCGCCAGCGACGCGTAGTTCTCGGGCGCGACGCCGGCGCCGTTGTCGCTGACCTCGAAGGCGTCGCGCCCGAACTCCTTGAGCTTCACCTCGATCTGCGTGGCGCCGGCGTCCAGTGCGTTCTCCACCAGCTCTTTCACAGCCGTGGCCAGGTTCACCACCGACTGCCCGCTGCAGATGCGCTGCACGTCGCGGCGGTCCAGCACGTGCAGCGCCGACGTCGGCGCCGCGGCGGGTACAGGAGCCATCGCGCCGAGTGCGGAATCGAGAGTGATGGTCGGTTCGACGCGCGAAAACCTGTCCCAAAACACGAAAACCAAGATACCTAAACTATAGTTTTGGGCTTTTATTCAATTAGGTTTGGGCTCCGCGTCTCGAGCCACGAAGTGAAGTGATTGACGACGTCTGCTGGAAGATGGTGCTCAAGAAGCTGCTGGGCACGGCGCAGGACCTGTGGCGGATGCGCCGCATGCCCGCGCAAGTGCGCGCCAAGGACACGCGACTGGCCTTCACCGACATCATCGTACGCCACCTCTCCAGCTTCCAATGCATCTTCAAGTGCACCAAGGTAACTGTGTCATAACTGTTGGCAGGGCGACGAAAGCCAAAAGGGAAGATGGCTGCGCACCGGCCCCATCCTGGAGCTCATGGACGTGCTGGCTGGAACGATCTCCTCTCGGGTGTCGCTGGGCCCCACGGCCACCATCTCATTCGACCGCGTGGACCTGGTGAAGCCCGTGTTCCACGGAGACCTGGTGCGCGTGGAGGGCGAGGTAATCGGCCTTAGCAACTCGTCCATGGCCGTGCAGGTGAGCGGCTACCGACGCGACGTCCCCACGGGCACGTTCCAACACACGCACGACGCCATCATCACGATGGTGGCCATCAACCGCTTCGGGCGGCCGAGGAAGGGTCTTCCGCAGCTCTTCGACGCGGAGAAAGCCGACTACTGCCTCAAGATGAGGGAGGTGGCTCACAAGCGCAGGGAGCTGGCCAAGAGATGGATGAAGGAGCAGGACGCGGTGGACTTGATCCCCTTTATCGGGAGCAACGACTTGCTCCCGGGTGAGACTAAGGACGACTACGTCTCCATCAGCGACACGGAGATTGAAGTGCGCAACTGGTTCCTGCCCCGCAACCTCAATATTAACGAGACGGTGTTTGGAGGAGACCTGCTGACCTGGATGGTAAGGGTGTATGAGCTGTAGTTGGGGGGCAACGATGAAGGTGGTGATTTACGTGGGTGTGGGTTTGATGATGATAGGACCGAGCTGCGCTGTACTGCGCCCAGAACTTCACCAAATCGGAAAAGATGGTGACCATCGCTATGAACCGCGTGTTGTTCAAGCTGCCGATTTCCGTCTCGGATGTTGTGACGGCGCGCGCCCGCGTCGTTAACGTTCGGTGAGTGGCGATCAGACTGTTGCATTATGGGCCTTTACTGTGCTAACCCACGACGCTTTTTTTTGCAGTCGCTATCGTCTGGAGGTAGAGGTGGAGGTGTTCGTCCACTCGGTCGTGGATGGTGGAGAACGCAAGTCGCACAGCGGGTATGGTAGTTGCTTTATCATCTTTCTGCACACATGTGTGGCCTGCTGATTTGAACTTGCAACCTCATCACCTCCATTTGTTTGGATTCATTGATACTTTAGATACTTTACGGTGCTGAACCTGGACGAGAAGGATGCGTTCAAACAGATCGACAAGGGGTTGAAGATTGACGAGGACAACCAGCGTGAGATGCGGATGCTCCTGAAGGCGCAGAAGCGTCTGGAGTTCGCCGAGGAGGACAAGAACCTGCACTCGCTCGAGACTTTGGAGCCTCGGCTGTGATTCCATGTTCAGACTGGAACATCCATAACAAGGCATTTTGTTCAGAGCGGGATAATCCAGCCTCGAGATACTACTCACGTACTTAGTAGACGACACGACCAGCGCGAACGAGGTTCTGTCTGCTCAATAACCACTTCAACTTAGAAGTACCTTGCTGTTGATGCGATTCTCTCCTTCGAACAAGCTGAGCAGTCAGACTATCGGTGTCAACAAAGCTGGAAATTTGTAGATACTATTCAAGAATTTCATAATTCGCAGTGGTTCAGCAAGCCATGACAATGTAACGGGACGCAGCAAATTTATTATCCCGTCGTGTACATAATAGCTTACGGGTCGTAAGTTACGGCAAAAATTCACGGAAAAGATTAGGACAATGTCGCATTCACACAAGTTGGGCTAGATCACCCGCTTCACAGGATCACGAACGCTACGTATGTTGTCTCCAGCTCATCCATCAAATGACAGCTGTAACATTAGTGCAATTCGTGCATATTTATACAAAACGTTAATAAAGAGACTGATTCACTGACTGGACTGCTTAGCGGCGACGGTGCCGGTTGAAACGTAGCCACAGCACACCGATGACAAGAATCTGCAGCACCACCGAGTAGCACGCCAGGATGATCATGTCCTGGGTGAAGTTGACGTTCTCCATGCCGTAGCTCTTCAGTAGATCCCACGCCTCCTCCGTATTCACTTGCGAGAAGTGCTCGTACATGAACGACTCGAACGAGTACGTGTGGAAGGCGAGGTAGTAGCCCCACTTCCAGTAGACGGGCATGTCGGAGAACGGCACCATGAAGCCTTCACACAGCATGAACATACCGAAGAGACCGGCGCCTAGCGCGATGCCCATAATGTAGTGGGGCACGGCAGCACCCAGCAAGTGCATCAGCGACTCGGCAGCAATCAGCGACAGCGTCAAGTTCAGCAAGAAAGTCGGGAACGAGTTGACGTTGGCCAGGAACACGACGATAGCGGACGCCAACACGGAGATGAGGAGAATACCCGGCAGCGCAGCCAAGAGGTTGGACATCGTGTAGCCCGTGAGCGACAAGGCGTACGACCGCATCTCGCGCTCCATGACGGCGCGGTGTTCCAGCAGAGCAGGCAGCGCCGCAACGGACATGAACACCAGGAAAGCTTGCACGTAGAAGAGCAGCGGCACCATCGATACGTCCTTGATGTTGTTGGAGCTCAGGTACATGGTACCGACCATGAGCGACAGCAGCACGTACATGAGCACACGCAGCCAGAAGACTCCCGGGTGTCTCCAGTTGTTGGTCATGTTACGCTTGACAAGCACGAAGAACTGGTCCATGGGCCACGGCCGCATGGCCTTCAGCAGTTCCGGGTTGGTCAGGTTTTCCCGACGAGCTCGGTCGCGCACAACGTCGGCCCTGAGACGCTGCGGCTCGGCACTTTCCTTGAGCGCCCGCGTGAACGGCTCCAGCTTGAGGCCTTCGTGGAAGTTGGTGTTGACCAAGTGGACAAAATACTCCGCGGGGTTCGTATACATGGGGCACACGTAGCCCATGGAGAAGAAGTGGGCGATGGCAGCGTTCGTGGGGCCGCTGTAGACGAGTTCACCGCCACTGAGGATGACGAGGTTGGTCAGCATGCCGTAGATGGACGACGACGGCTGGTGGATCGTGCACACGACGTTCTTGCCTCCTTCCTGGCACAACCGCTCAATGTACTGCATGACACCGCGAGCAGAGGACGAATCCAGACCCGAAGTCGGTTCATCCAGCAGCAACAGAGCGGGGTCCGACAGCAGCTCCAGAGCGATACCCAGACGCTTGCGTTGGCCTGACGAAATGCCCTTGTGGAACACGTCACCTACACGCGCGTTGGCGCACGAGCGCAGTCCCATGGCGTCGATCACGTCTTGAACTCGAGCCTCGCGCTGCACGGGCGGCATGTGGCCAGGCAGACTCAGACCGGCACCGATCTGAAGCGTCTCCAAGACCGTGAACGCTCCCAGGAACGCCATATCTTCCGACACGTAGTTCATGATGTTGTGGAACGTGCGCAGGTCGCGAGGCTGGCCGTTCACTTCAACCAGACCTTCGAGGTGCACGCCCGAGCCTCCCGACGGCACTCGATCGGCCAGCATATCCAGCAGCGTGGTCTTACCGGCACCGGAAGGACCGAGAATGGCCGTCAGCTCACCGGGGCCTGATCGTCCCCAAACATTGTTGAGGATCTTGCGAGGCTGTTGGCGCTCGAACTGCGCCTCCAACGCCGAAGGACCCGATCCTCGCTTGCTGCTCTTGCTCCCGAGCTTCTTCTCCTTGGGCTGAATGAAGTACGAAATGTGCTGCCAACTGATGGAGCACGTCTGCAGTGCCGCGCGTTGGGTGAACCCCTCGGTCGAGAGCTCCGAGTTCTGGTCGAAGAGCGCGATTTTGGGCTTGACCGGCACCTTGTTGTTGCTGAAGGCGTGCGGCGCCGGCCCCTTGACTGTGTCCAAGTTACTGAAGGACGCTCCGGGTGACAGGAGTCCGCTGTGGTCATGGCGCGCGCGACTGCGGTCGAGGTCGTTGCGCGACATCGGAGCCCCGAGCACCGCTGTGGGCTCCGATCCGTCCGAGCTCATGGGCGTGTGGCTCGAGGAATGTCCGAGCACGGGCCTGCTGTCCGAGTTCATAGCTGTCCGTCCGAGGCGAGTTCGAGTCGACAATGCAGTCGACGAATTCAACCGGGGGCTGTCTCGGAGTCGGTCTTTTCCGTAGTGAACTGCCTCACATCATCGCTTGAGGTTGAGGAGCTCCTATCCATTTGGTAAAGACCGCGTCGGCTGCCTTGACAGGGAGAGTACAAGTTGCACGACAGATGCCCGGGGACAGTGCGCCGCTCCCGACACCTGGAATCCAGGTCCTGGATGCAGCGTCGCGACGCTTGTCGCGCGTAGACTTGGCGCTCGGGATCTCCCGAGATTGGCACGGTCTCAGCTTGTCGAGCGAGAGGGTGCTCCGTTGGTTGTCTTGTTTGCCCCTGGTGTCAAGTTGCCCCGCCCTGTCGTTACATTTGTACAGGAACCCCCGAGCAGATCAAACGACGATGGCGGGCGGGAGGGGTAGAGGCACACGTTGAACGGTGGACCGTACTCACTCAAACTCCGGCACACATCGACTGCCTCGAGTCGAAGGAGAGCTGTGTTGCCGACGCGAAAGTGCTTTGCCATCGTCGGAAGGCGAGCCGATGGCTGGAATTGCATCGTTAAAATCGGAGAACCCCCATAAGATAAGACTGAAAAGTTTGTGGCCGTAAGTCACGACCGCAATACTAAGTACTGGTAGGGAGACTGCAAGAGGGGAAGAGTGCCCGTGCCAAGATGGCGCTCGCAGGTGGCAATAGCGCGATTGAACACCTGGCTCCAAAGGTGTGCACCTTGGGTCAGTCACCGCATCAGCTGACCTGAGCAGCGAATACTACAGTATTTGCATTCCCCAACTGCTCCGCCAATTGGCATCACTGTCACCATTCGTATATTACCCAGGATATAGTACTTGGGACTCTGTTCGTCTCCACCGAGTTCTTGGCGGACTTTGTTCGTCTCCATCGACTTTGTTCGTCTCCATCGAATTCTTGGTGGCATTGCGTTGCTGCCGTCCTCTTTAGCGTGGGCCTAGCCGCCATTGTTTCGTGTTACAAATCGAGCCGAGTTCAAGCCTGTGCATTCGATGCACTGCATTCGCACAGACTTGACTTGCTTGCATTGCACCCCGAGATTCGAGCCGGTTGAGCACCGCCCGCGCCACGACTTGCATGGTGAATCTATCGCCTGTCGGCTAGAGGGCGTGAGAGGTCCTGGATGATAAGTTTTCGTTCTGGTCGACGCCGAGAGTTTCGAGGGGAAGAGCTCCACAGGGAGTGCACGGCTCGTCCGCAAAGCAGCACGCCCGCCGCACAGCGCGGCGCACTGTCCAATGTGATGCATTACCATGGTACAGAGATATCTCTTGCCTGTGTCGTTTGCTGCACTTAACCTCAGGCTCTGACGGGGGGCCACCCACTCTTCGTCCCGTTGTCGTCCCATCAAGTGCTCGGTGGAGACCGCTGCTCCATCGAAGCCTCTGGCCGTCGCTGTTCCAGTTCTTGGCGTGCTGTGGACAGATACAGTAGCTACGGATTGACCGCGGATCGTTCACGTGGCTCTCGGTTGTTCGCGGGCGGCTCGGGGATTCAAGCCTTCTTTTGCTGTAAGACCCCTTCATAGGTAAAGTCCGCAGTTGTCCCACACAAATTGAGCCTCAAGGGATGGCTCTCGGTTGGTTCGACTTTGCAAGGTCAATTTGACGTTTGTGCGGGCAGATTCCTGCGGTCATCAAAGTTGATGGAAAGAGGGCCCTCGTACCCCTAAGGATAACGGAAGCAGCATTCCTGTTGTATTCTGAGCCTACACGCACAGTATCTCTCACGGGTTGTTGCTCGCCATACCAATTCGAGATTGGCAAAATACCAAGAAGCCTGCGGCCTCTCATGCTCAGGTACGTCGGAACAGAGCCCATGCTTTTCACCGCACAAATCTTCGTGAGCAGCCTCAAGTCTCGTTTTGGCACACGGCTCAGACCGGAGGCACGATAACATATTTATCAAAAATCTTACCGACGGGAAAAGCCAAAACTTGCGGACTGCCAGCTTTCGCAAGTTGCGGGCAAGTGTTGTCTGGGCCAGTCTGGCCGTGGGGCTACGTAGGTCCAGCTTGCTTGCGTTGAATAGTGAGGGCGCGACTCCTAATTGAGAGCAAATTACACTTGTACCTGCACCAACCGCTCGAAGCTACATGTGCAGTACACCAAGTGCTGGGCCTACTTCAACGTGAAAGTTTCAATTCTTCAGGAAGATCGCCAATAGCACTTCGTACTGGTGCAGACCCTATTGTACACGTACGCGCTGAGGACAATTCGAGCACACCCGTGTAGCACAATATTATGCGGCTTTATTTTGCTTTTATACTTCCTAGGAATCGATCAAACCGCGCGGCACTACCGATATGTTGCGCCACGACAGTCAGGAGCTATCTCTGCGCCCAGCGCTCAGGCGCCGCACACGAGACACTCGTCCTCGTCGTCACCTGCCCGGGCCACAGTCTCCGTCTGGGGTGCGGGGGCGGGAGTGGCGGCTGCGGCAGCCTCCTCCTTGGCACGCTGCAGGTCGAGGCCCTGCTTGTCGACCGTGAACTTGATGGCGTCGGCTTTCGGGCGTCCGCGCATGTAGTACATGCCGGTCTTGAGCCCCTTCTTCCAGGCGTAGAAGTGCATCGACGTGAGCTTGCTGATGGTCGGGTCGGCGATGTGGATATTGAGCGACTGGCTCTGGCAAATGTAGGCGCCGCGGTCGGCCGACAGGTCCAGCACGGCCTTCTGTTTGATCTCCCACACCGTCTTGTACTTCTCCTTGACGTGGTCCGGGATGGCCTTGACCTTCTGCACGGAGCCGCCGTCGTTCAGGATCTGGTTGCGCACGTCGGGCGTCCAGATGCCCAGCTCGATCAGCTCCTTCATCAGGTACTTGTTGACGATCGTGAACTCGCCGGCCAGCACGCGGCGGTTGTACATGTTGGACGTGTACGGCTCGATGGACTCGTTGTTGCCGAGGATCTGGGCCGTCGAGGCAGTGGGCATGGGGGCCACCAGCAGCGAGTTGCGCAGGCCGTGCTTGATCACGTTCTCCTTCAGCGCCGCCCAGTTCCACAGGTCCGACGACGGGGTGACGCCCCACATGTCGAACTGGAAGATGCCCTTGCTGGCCGGCGAGCCCTGGAACGTCTCGTACGGGCCGAGCTCCTTGGCGATCTCCATGGACGTCTCCATGGCTGCATAGTAGATGGTCTCGAAGATCTTCTTGTTGAGCTCGCGGGCCTCCTCGCTCTCGAACGCGAAGTTCATGAGGATGAACGCGTCCGCGAGGCCCTGGACGCCGATGCCGATGGGGCGGTGACGCATGTTGGACTTGCGCGCCTCGGCCACGGGGTAGTAGTTGACGTCGATGACCTTGTTCAGGTTGCGCGTGATGACCTTGGTGACCTCGTAGAGCTTCTGGTAGTCGAACACGCCCTCCTCCACAAACTTGGGCAGCGCCACCGAGGCCAGGTTGCACACGGCCACCTCGTCGGGGGACGTGTACTCCATCACCTCGCAGCACAAGTTGCTGGAGCGGATCGTACCGAGGTTCTGCTGGTTCGACTTCCGGTTGGCCGCGTCCTTGTAGAGCATGAAGGGCACGCCCGTCTCGATCTGCGCGTCCAGGATGGCGAACCACAGCTGCTGCGCGTTGATCGTCTTGCGCGCGCGTCCCTCCTTCTCGTACTTTTCATAAAGGGTCTCAAACTCCTCGCCCCAGCACTCGTAGAGCCCAGGAGCTTCATTGGGGCAGAACAGACTCCACTTGCCATTGGCCTCCACCCTCTTCATGAACAGATCGGGCACCCACAGCGCGTAGAACAGGTCGCGCGCGCGGTGCAGCTCGTTGCCGTGGTTCTTGCGCAGGTCCAGGAACTCGAACACGTCCGCGTGCCAGGGCTCAAGGTAGATGGCGAACGAGCCCTTGCGCTTGCCTCCGCCCTGGTCCACGTAGCGGGCCGTGTCGTTGAACACGCGCAGCATGGGGATGATGCCATTGGACGAGCCGTTCGTGCCACGGATGTAGCTATTCGTGGCGCGGATGTTGTGCATGCTGATGCCGATACCTCCGGCCCACTTAGAGATGCACGCGCACTGCTTGAGCGTGTCGTAGATGCCCTCAATGGAGTCGTCCTGCATGGCCAACAGGAAGCAGGACGACAGTTGTGGGCGCGGCGTGCCGGCGTTAAACAGTGTCGGGGTCGCGTGCGTGAAAAACTTTTGCGACATGAGCTCGTACGTCTCGAGGGCGGCCTTAATGTCGCTCTTGTGGATGCCCAGCGCCACGCGCATAATCATCTGCTGCGGGCGCTCCACCACCTTGCCGTTCACGCGGAAGAGGTAGCCGCGCTCGAGCGTCTTGAAGCCAAAGTAGTCGTACTCGAAGTCGCGGTCGTGGATGATGGCCGAGTTGAGCTCGTCCTTGTGCTGCATGACGATCTCGTATACGTCATCAGCGATGAGCGGGGCCGCCGCGCCCGTCTTCTCGTGGATGTTCTTGTGGAAGACCTCGATGTTGTCGCTGAACACCTTGTTGGTGTTCTTGTGCAGGTTAGAGACGGCAATTCTTGCCGCCAGTTTAGAGAAATCCGGGTGCTGCGTGCTCTGATACGCGGCGGTCTCGGCCGCCAGCTCGTCCAGCTCCGAGGTGGTGACGCCCGGGTACACGCCCGCCACGACCTTCTGCGAGATCTTGATGGCGTCCACGTAGTCCGGGTTGAGCCCGTAGCAGAGCTTGGTGATGCGCGCCGTGATCTTGTCGAACTTGACGTCCTCCTGGCGCCCGTCGCGCTTGATGACGTACATGTTTAAGCGAAGGTTAACACTGGCTTAAACTTGGCGCGGGCGGTTAGAGAATTCGCTAGCTTGAGCTTGGCGCGGCGGATTTGGGACTGACGTCGGTTGGCGGGAGGGCCGGAGTGGGCTAGGGATCCTGATTGGAGGAAAAGATCGACTTGGTGCAATGTGATTGGTCGGATGCAACCCAGCTCATCCCCCTTGTCGGCGCGTGCCAGCCTGGTTTTGGCGGGGGGTTTGAATTACCCTCCGGGCCTTGGCGCCAAAACTGGTTGAACCCGGATAAGGCCGGTGGCCGGTGGCTCGCGGCCAATGAGCGGCGCCGAGCTAATCTTGCTTGCCGTAGTGACTGCAAAGATGGCTGGAGGGTATCGAGAAGCTTGAGACATCGCTGTGCGCACCGCGCAAAACACCTGCCACCAGTCGTTTGAAGTGAAAGATACGATTTTCCTCTGGAAAAAGCAGATGGCTACATTGCTCTCCATTTTTGGTATGTCGCTGTTAGAGAATTTGACCACATGTGAGGTGTTTTTATCAAAGATCCATGGAATCAATTCGTTCATGCTTTGGAATCAATTATTTCATGCTTTGTGAATCAATCGATTCTCTCATACCCTGGGAGGAAGAAGCATGTTGTTATGTAGTCATGCAAGTCAAAGGAGGGCAAAATGCATTGCAAAAAGCTTTTTCTTGCTCAACTCGACGCACAATTTGGTCGAGCTCTCTCGTAACCTACCCCATTTGAACGTACCACTACAGCGGAAATTATTTCCAGAGAGACAAATGGTATTATCGATTGCATCACAATTCTAATTGCAAGCCCCTTTTGACTATATACGTCTGGAGTGTGGAGCTTACAAAACCCTGGATCAACTACATGAATTCGAATCCTACATTTTACGTCGTGCTAGGGAAATAATATTTAAAGTTTCAGAGAGTGAGCAGTATCGGTGAGAGAAACCAACGTGGTTCAAGGGTGAGCTCCACAGAAGAATTTCCTGCAACTCTATATCGTAGCCAAACTGTTCAATAAAAATGCACTGGCAGATGCTAGTATTTTTGCAAACACCAGCGTTTGCTTGCGAACACACGGATCTAGTCTCTGGACGGCGTGCATAAACCAATAAACCATGGCAAGAGGATTGATCAAAGAACACCCTTCGCCTTTGGACAAATCTGTCAGTACATATTCGAAATCAACACACAAATACGACCCTCTTCTGTGTGCTTGCAGATGTCATCAGTTGAACTTTGGGTATCCCGCTGTCCACCTCAGTCACATTTGGGAGCGATGCGATTCACGTTGTTGACGCTGACGGTGAAATGTGCTAGAGCAACGCTTGCAGCTCAGGCTCAAGCACGAGGGACGTACAGAGGACTGCATCCTATCTCACATGTATAGCTGTCATAGAGGCTGGACAGTGTCACATTGCAATGCTACCTCATCTTGTGTCTTCACGATTAGTTTTAAATGCCTCGATTAGTCATGCAGGGACTAAATGAAGTATCGCTCTACCGACAATAGGCGCTCTAATTTAAATTCTCAAAAGGATGAATTGGACTGATGGTATACAGCATCCTGTACAATTATTTGCGGGTAAGTATAGAACGTTGTGTTCCTTTCGTTGCCAGATGTGGGTCATCACCAAAATGACCACCTTTTCCTGCCGAACATGTGAACCACGCAACATAAACTAATCCGCAATTGACAGTAATCTCGACAAAGGACTGCATACTGCGCCTTGGAGAGCTAATATTCATTCATCAATTTGACCAGCAAGCTTCATCTCCATCTATTAATTAGACCGACAGGATTAGGACAGCTGCGTTCTCCTCGCCAAGCCTCGACGTCGAGCTGCAACCCATCAAACCAAGCTACCTGGGCTACAATCCCAACGATATTGTCGCTCTACAGTCCTTGCACTTGCAGGAGCAGCATGCAATGGAACCTAACGGGGACAATTTTTGAAAATTACGTTTTTTTAAAGAATTTAACGTTAACTAAATCTGATTTAAATCATTCTAAGTAAAAGAAGCTAAAAAAGGCTCCTTTGTGGAATATGTGGTCTATAAGACTTGTCAAAAATGGTTAGAGTCGATCAACCTTAGACAAGCTAAAGCTGTTATATGAGAAGGATTTACTTAAACTTTAAATATCAAGGCACCTACCTTCATCAACATTCACAAAATATGCGCTAAATATTCGCAAGGTAGGTACCTTCTTTAAACGAAGTCAGTTTTTTCACAACATTTCACAAAATATTCACAAAATTTAGAGTTATAGAAAAGTGAGTTGATCTTGAGAGAAGAAATGTTAAAGTTTAATAACAACATATCATACGATAAACCAACAACCAACAACCAACAATGAACACTAACTTTATCCCTAACGAAGACGTTGAGATCATCTTTGATGATGACTTCTTCTCGGATTCAAAATCGGATTGTGGTGAAAGCAACATTAACGTATTCTCGGATTCTGATGAATATCTAATGAGCGCTAAAGATTACCTGTATGAAATCGAATGCAAGTTGACACAGTACTGCCCGCTTCGATCAGCGCATGGTGATGGTTTCTTTATTAGAATAAACCTAATTAAAGAGATTCATTCTAACATGACTGTAGCTAAGCTTCAACATAATCAAAGATTTCAAGAAGAAATCGCTGAAGAATTAGTTTTAACCACTATGCATCCTTGCCGCATTCAAGATCAAATGAATCGGTTCGATGATATTGAGCAATACTTCACAGCGATGAGGTACTAAATAATAAACCAACAACTTTTTTTATGTCTCCTATCAGAGTTAAAAAAATATTGATGATTTAGTGAAGCTCACGAAGTTCTTTCACTAAACGCGGACATTTCTCAAAAACAAATTCATTTTTACGAAGCCAGTTAGTATAATTAGGGTCAAGGGCATGAACCGTTTTAAGTTTTCTGTTTTTGTACTTACCAAAATTCATAACATAATCATCGGTTAGCTTTGATTCAAGAAACTTAAGCATGGTATCATTTAGTAAATTTGGTTGGTTCTTATGCCAGCGGCAATAACCAGGATCAGAAACAAATACTTCTTCAATGGTCTTACGTTTAAATTTTCCTGAAACTTAACTCAGTCGACATGTTGGTCTTATATACTGGTATAAAATATAATAAATTTAATTAATTAAGCGGTGGTATAATCTTCAATCTCCCCTGTTAGGCGGTTGTAGGTAAGCTCTTGTTCGTTAATAAAAAGAACTAGAAGATTGACACCTTGGCAGCCAGCGTTTACACCCTGAATTTGAATAGCTTGCGGCACGTCACGTTCGGTTAGGCTAGACAGACACGTCGGCGATGAGCATGCGGTTAGTTAGCGACCAAGTTTGGTAATCAAGTAGACCATTCACGAGTTCGGGAGTTAGATCGCCATTGATAGCGCCAAGCTTCGCGACTTCATTAGTGGAGTGATGGAAGTCATAGTCATGATTGAGATCAAACGTCTGAGATGAACCAATGCGAATATTAAAGTTTCGAATCCAAGATCCAGGTTGAAGCGTCCATGGGGCAGAATCGAATGGGCTCTGGAACTGTTGAACACCAGCAGATGCGAAGTTGTTAGTTTGTTCAGCGAATGGTAAAACTACGATATACTTAGCATTTTTAACCGAGGCCGACAGCTGAAGATCAAACGATGCATTAAGCTGAGTCGATTGCTTACCAATGCCAGCGCGTCGATAGAACCACTGAGCATAACAATCATTGTAGTGAACCTTCTTAACCGGTTTAGAGATGATAGCTTGAGGGTTTTCAAGGTTGACGAACGGTACATATAGACGAGCTGTAGTAAAAGGCATGTAAGTACCATCAATCGTAGGCTCAAGAGAGTTAGCAACAGCACCCCAAGCAACACTGAAGCCTGCAGAAGCGGCAAGTACACCATTCATCGGATTACCACTAGCAGAGCTTGCAACCATTACCGGACAAGTATTGCCGGATGATAGAGTGGTCGAAGTAAGTGACATACCCTTGGTAGCATCAACAGCGATAGCAGACGATCCCTGATTCACGCGGAAGCGAAGTCGGATCTGAGGATTAGCCATCAAATCTAGCTCACGGAAAATCGGGCGGAGATCAGTTAATTTAATCTTGAGCATCTAGTTCCACGTACCCATGATAGCGTTAGCAGTAGATGCGCCAGCAACAAAAGCACCACGAGCCGTTTTATTCGAGATGGTAGTAGAAGCAGAAGCAGCACCTACTGAAGGCCAACTGCTAGAGAAATCAGCGCCTGCTGTCGGAGGATTCGATAATAGACGCTTAACGAAGCCGTCATTAGGGATAGTTGTTCCACCAGGAGGAGCGGAAGTACTAAATGATGACGAGAAAGCCATAGTGTTAGAATATCCATATATTTACAATAACGCATCAGATCGATCGGTATTGTTAATTTAAAATATTAACGCATCAGATCGATCGGTATTGTAAATTTAAAATATTGAATATTCACCTAAACTGTACAAAACTTTAAACCGATCGATCTGATGCGTGGTGATATTGAAAATCCTTTAATTAGGTTTATTCTAATAAAGAAACCATCACCATGCGCTGATCGAAGCGGGCAGTACTGTGTCAACTTGCATTCGATTTCATACAGGTAATCTTTAGCGCTCATTAGATATTCATCAGAATCCGAGAATACGTTAATGTTGCTTTCACCACAATCCGATTTTGAATCCGAGAAGAAGTCATCATCAAAGATGATCTCAACGTCTTCGTTAGGGATAAAGTTAGTGTTCATTGTTGGTTGTTGGTTGTTGGTTTATCGTATGATATGTTGTTATTAAACTTTAACATTTCTTCTCTCAAGATCAACTCACTTTTCTATAACTCTAAATTTTGTGAATATTTTGTGAAATGTTGTGAAAAAACTGACTTCGTTTAAAGAAGGTACCTACCTTGCGAATATTTAGCGCATATTTTGTGAATGTTGATGAAGGTAGGTGCCTTGATATTTAAAGTTTAAGTAAATCCTTCTCATATAACAGCTTTAGCTTGTCTACGGTTGATCGACTCTAACCATTTTTTGACAAGTCTTATAGACCGCATATTCCACAAAGGAGCCTTTTTTAGCTTCTTTTACTTAGAATGATTTAAATCAGATTTAGTTAACGTTAAATTCTTTAAAAAAACGTAATTTTCAAAAATTGTCCCCGTTAGGTTCCATTGCATGCTGCTTTGCAGGAACGGTTCTTTTGGGACTCATCGGGTAGGAATTCGTCACGATGTCAGACACCCAATGGCGTCGCGGCGGCTTCCAACCTGCGTACCAGATACCGAGAACTCGCACCGAACTCGCTACAAAATAGTGAGGCGATTACTGGAGATCAACCCGACAGCAAGCGCTTCGCCTACTTCTTCTGTTACCAGCAACAACTACGCATATGCAGCTCTGCAGTCCATCGAACGCAGGCTCAATTCGGGCTAGTTGATGATGACTTTAAGTGTCTGTCTAGGAACTACGAAACTAGTAAATAGAAGTGCCGTACGAGAATGTGGTCCCAAACGTCCTATAATCCTCCCAAGTCGGTTGACTCATCATTCACGTATCCAAACAGGGGCGCCAACGAGAGCGAAG